GGAAGAACAGGTTGGACCATTAAGTGATATACCTTTCAACTTTCAACGCCAATCAATTTCCATGGCAATCCGTTCTTCCACGCAATGTAAGAAGGATCTCAGCCGTATTCTTGATCTGTTGCCTTTTAGGAGTGCAACCGTTCAAAGCCGTTTGACTGGCACTTCAGACCGATCGCTGTTTTCCGACGAAGAAAGCCCCCACTCAGCTGGACCCAAGGGGCTCTTCAGTAAGGCAATGAGCCCAAGATGTGCTTCCGCCCAACGCTCGTCCTCGGCGTGATACTCCCAAGACCAGCCTGAGACAGGCAACTAACCAAGTCAGGAATCTTTTCCATTCACCATTCACAGGTTGGTGGATGTTCATTGGATGGTCTGCCCACAGCGGGCTAGGAATTAGGAGCTCATGTCGATGAGTTCACCCTCTGATACTCCTCTGGCGCTTCCTGTCTGGGTTTCCATCGGCTGCTGTTCCACCACCGGCCTGGCCGACCGGGAGGCGCGCCAGGTGCCAGAGCGGTCGCGGCGGCAAAGTCGGCGCCTCGGAGGTGGAGGGTTGAGACACATCCCCTGGGCTCCATATCCTCAGGTTCAGTGGTTGGTGGGTTTCGGGGGGTCTATATAATATAACCACCTTCTAAGGAAAAGGTTGGAGCCCTATGGTGTGGAAAGCAAGGTTTTTGGGAGAGTTTGAGAGTCCAAGGTGGCTGGGACTTGATGGTGTCAATACTTGTGAACAAATCCTGCTGCCTTGTGAGAGATAAGACAACAAACTCGCCTCCAAAAGCATGCACGGAAACTGGCCCAAAAAGGTGGGTCGAACTACAAACTTTGACCGTCGATACCAAAACGCCTTCGTTCGACTGAACGACTCTGAAAGACCCCAAACACACCACGTTCGCATGACCTGAAATCCGTTGCGGCAACGGTCTGGCTAACGTGACCGTGCCTTGCTCCGTGGCCTCAGGATGCAGCGGTTTTGGAAGTTTGTGCTCTTCCAGCCAGGCCAACAGCTGCGCCGCCGATTTGGCCCGGCCATCCTGCGCGTCGCGTGATAATTGGGCTGCGTGTCATAATTTTGGTGGGCAGCCTTTTGGGCCACTGCAAACAAGGAAGGGGGGAGCAAAAACAGGACGGTGCTTAGTGCTTGGGGATGTGAAATATCTATAAGTCTATATAAATATCTTTCATATCTCCCAACACCAACAACTTTGGGGCCAGGTAGTGTTCAAATAGGGTTTTGCCGAGTTGGATGCGCGCTAAGAGTTCTGAGGATCAACAAGCTGACACATGAGTCGAGGACCTCGAGGACAACAAAGCAAAATTTTTATACACATCCAGCCAGTGGTGTCATGTATTCCCAAATCAATGTCTCTAGCGTGACTCCAGCTCCTTGTGCACTTGGATCGTAGGCATTCTTTTGCATCCTGTTGCATCCCTTTGGGGGCAGCTACTAGCTCGTGTCGTTTCGGGGCGAACAGGTCTTTCATCTGTTCGAACACGTTCGACCGATGCTTCGGCGATGGTTCAGTGGTTCGATGTCCGGCGTTCAGCTGAAGTCATGGCCTGCTGCTTCAGCAAGGTTCGGAGCGCACTGCTGGAACCCAAACTGGGCATTTTCTTTTGGCATCAGGACATATGTTCAACGGGGGACATGTTTTTTTGTGTCTACCTGCCTGGACCCTGGAATGACCTCTGAGAAGCTCCTCGGGCTGGAGATGGGAACGCCAGGAATTCAGCAGGAGATGGGAACGCAGGCGTTGAGGAAATCTCACCTATCATTCATACAAAAGATATCAAAAGATATCATCTTGCTTATTAATAATAATGGTAATACGCATTATCGTTTGTAGGATTCTCAGCAGTGAAGGCTTGTCCAGCCAGGTACACTCCCGAAAACTCACATAGACCCTGACAGTGGTCCCATGGAAGACGATTTTCCTCTACCAACCAGGGGTTTCAGGTTCCATGTTAGTCTTCCAGGGTGTGACCCCATAACGAAGGAGCTGATACGACTCACCAACCTTTCTCTCTTCAGCTTTTGGGGGACGAGTGGCACGAGGTCCTTGTCTGTATGAGAGACCTCGAAGAGCTTCTTTGCGCCCTCCTCACCGGCCTGGCCATGGCATGCGTGTGTGAAAACACCGCCTCGTCCTTCCCTGAAGCAGACAGGCGTCCTTTTGAAAAATGGATCATACAACTCAGCCAACGGGTTTTTGATGGTTTTTAATGATCAACTCGTGCTCTGGGGATGCGTTCCATGGGGCCACGGCCGAAGAACAACGGAACTGCTTCGTCGTGGCGGGCCACTGACTCGAATGTGGTGGTCTTTTCGACTTGGATGCTGGATGGATCCTGGATAGTGCATCCTTCAACCAGGTCACAGTTCACTGGATAGTGTCATTTGGACTGGGAGGATCTTCTGGCGTCGCATCACTGTGCTGCGCATGATGAACCCCCTACGACGCACGACAGGACCGAGAGCACGTCCAGGCCTGAAAAACTTGAACTGTGGGGTATCTGTAGATCTGCATGGCATCGCAGGCCTTCTGGTTCTCCTGGACCAAAGAATGTCTACATTATCTACATTGCTCGTTGAATCCACGGGTGTGTGAGAATAGGGAGACCGGGAGGGAAAGCAAACGAAATCCCCAGACCCCTTTCATTGCGAGGGGTCCTTATTCCAATGGTTCGCAAAAACAAGAAACTCTGACACTGTGGATGACCCCCCAAAAAGAGCATGGACATGGCCACATGTTACATTCATAGCTGCATTCGTATCCATGGTGCATTCGTCCTGAAACATCACAAGCATCATGACGCTTGGACTGAGCTAACTTCTCAGGTTTCAGTGGACCCTTGACTGAAGTCGACTGAAGTCTCTCCTTTTCCATGCAGTTGCAGGCAGCCACATGAACTGATTCGCTGCCACGATATGCGGCGCCAAGCTGTCGAAAGACTGGAGCAAAGTACCAGCAATGTGGGCAGCTTGAGTGGTAAAACCTCAAGTGGCAATTTTGTGGCCTCCCACCCCATACTGGTAGTGTGTATATTTCTCTGTGTCTATATAGGTTACGTAAGAACGGGGCAGCCATTGCTTTGGTGCATCGATCATGCAATATGTATGTATTTATATCGTATATCATATGTCAAATATAAAAGATATCATACATCTGAGTGTATTTTGGCCAATCCACGGATGAGGAAATACTCCAGTTGTCACGCATGTGAGGAAATAGCTGTATATACTGGATTAAGAATTCTTGGCTTGTCTAGATGTTTAGCCAGCGGGCCGTAGTCGATGCCATAGCCATAGCCATTGTGATCATGGCCATTGTTTGGACTTTCCTTGTATGCTCACATCTTATGCATGGAACAGTCTCCGTGCAGAAACGAAATCTGCAATATTATATACTGTAATGCAATCCACATAGACCTCCATCTGGTCAGAGCAGAGTTCTTGAACAAAGCTCATTTTGTGTTCTCCCCTCTAGTTCAGCTGCGCACAGCCCCAAGATGACGTCCCAGGTCACTCTGCGATTTTCTCTTCAACGTGCCAACTCGTGACTGGCGCCAACTCCACACCTGTACCCTTGTAAAGAAGCCCGAGAGACTCCACCAGCCAGGTCCGTCCAAGGCTTCGCTTGGAGAGATCGCAATGGCTTCCACTCAGCAAATCCACCGTGCCGTCTGGTGGATACAGCGACTTCTGACCTCGATCGATGCTTCGGCAAGCACCACGTAAACGGAACCCCCAAAAACGGACCCGGCAAGCGCGCGGCGCCAGGCCGGTCATTGTGCCCTATAAATGGCCCACCCGCTTTTTGGGGATTCCACATGGCCAAACTCCAAGCAAAACAAGTTGACAACGAGTTCACGTGCAGAAGCAGACTTGACACTTGACCCATTCGTCTCTAGCCCAGACGCAACCCTGGACCCTCATATGGAGGGGTCTGGGTCTCAAATCCCTCAGGTTTTTGAGGGACCAGTCGGGCTGTTTCCAGTTTTTGAGGGCTCCCAGCCGAGGTGTTCATAGATCGGTGGTCGGGGGCTCCACTCCACCGTCTCCGCTTCCGCTCGCAGAAGCAGCGCGGAGCAAAGAATCAGCCGACCACCCATCGCTGGCTGATTTCAGTGGAGAGTACAGTACCCACAAGGGTAGGGGTCATCCTAAGGCTGCTAAGTACTGCTAGGCTAGGTGTCCATTCCATGTATTCCCCTCAAAGAAAATCAACAAAAGAAACACCTTTTCGGCCTGATCTTTCGCCGGCAATGAGTCTGGCAAAACGTGTCCATGCTTGACATGGATGGCAAGACAAGACCTGCGTCGCATGCTCTGGAGTCACCCTTGGGCCCTGAAGTTCTACGAGAAGATCGAGCTGGGTCCAACAGGTTGATCAAGTCGATCTCTCGATGCATGAACAAGTTATTTGACAAGGTTGCTTGGCAGGCTGCCAGCCCTGGCCTGCAATGCCCTGGCAGGTGCTAGTGCTTCCAGTAGTCGCTCTATTGGGTGTCTTTTCTGTTGTTTGCATGTGTCTTGTCAGTAATTACACCTCACGTGGTATCCAGAGAAGCAAATGTCTTGCAGCGCAATCGCAAACAGACTCAAAGCCAAGACCAACAAGCTTGGAGGGTCAAAGGATCACAAACCAGCACCAACACTGTTGGAGGCTGGTCCGAGTATCTCACCCCCAGCTGCGAACACTTCGGGCTTCATAAGGAGAGCCAGAACAAATGCGACCCATGAGAGCCAGAATCGCAGCAACTGGGAACACCAAAACCTTTGGACCCCAAACACAATCAATTCAGCTTCTAGACCACTTTCATGGAGGTCATCTAGTTATATCTAATTACTGTATGTCTACTGTCTACTGTATTACTGTATGTATATATATATATCTATCGAATTACTGTATGTCTGGTTATATCTAATTATTGTATGGCAATCTTTTAAGACCCATTTCAAAAGCTTCCAGCAAACACCTCGACAAGTCCCCCGCCTCCCGAGCCGCCAAGGCCTCAACACGACTGCTCGCGACTCCCGTGGCGTTGCGTCTGGCAGAAGAATCCCGTCTGCATTCAATTGCTTCCGTGGTATCCATGCGTTCCTAGATGTTCCTATCCATGTGTACAGTGCACACATGTTTTTCCACTGGATAGCTGCATGTTGTTTCTGTGCTGGCAGCTGTCCCGCTGTCAATCGTCCTTCAGCACGGCCCCCAGGACGGCGGGAGAAGATCCGGCCATTTTGCGCCTGCTTAGAGACCTAGGTCCATGTAGAAAAATCTTGAACTATGACATGGGTTTCATCCCTCCAGAGGGGAGAAACTGTCGGCAAAAGCATGCCAAGCTGCACGCAGAGATAAACACTGAAGCTCCAAAAGCATGCCAAACGGCCTGACTCCATCAGACGGTTTGCCACTCTCCAGCTTAACTGGATCACTCAGGGTGCAAGACGAACTGGTCCGTTGCAACCAGCTGTGTCTTGCAGAAAAGAGGGACTTCTGGACGGGTCTTAGCCCAGAGTCCGCCGTTCGACCCAGAAGTTCCTTTCACAGAGAAGTGAATAACGTGGCTCTTCTCTTCCATTCTGAGATTTTGGGACAAATCCCAGAGATTTGGGGCACTTGGGAATGTGAAACGCCTATCTAGCGCAACCATCCCAAGTTCCTTTGCTTCTCGCGTCGTGCGCGGGCCACGCACATCTCCAATTGGCCGGGAGACTCCTCTAATTCCTGGCCGGTAGCCGGCGGGGAGAAACCACACACCCCACCGCCCCCACCGCGGACGAACACGTGATGATCGCGTGCGCAAGACGATCCCATGAACTTGCGAGGTAGAAAAAGCACGATGGAAAACAAAAAACAAAAGAAATAGAATGTATGACACCATGTCTCCTGCCCAGCTTCTCCTCAGAACCTCTCTATGGGTCCAAACTGTTGGTTTTTGTTCCTGTGGACTTCTGCGGCTTTTTGGGCCGTCAATTGAAAGAACAAATAGGCCAATATTCCGGACCTCTTTCCAGCATGGTGCAAGAAAACAAAAAAGATCGAAAAACGTCAAAAAGAAAAGACAAATACCACTATGTTGAGACTCCTGAGGCCCCCCTCTGACCCCTGTTTGGACCGCCTCTTCAGTTCTTTTGGTGTGTTTGTTGGGTTGTTTTTTGTGCGATGTCTTTGTGGTTTCTTGCCCCCTCCCCCTTTTCCTATCTATCGCATCTGCGATTCATATACCTTCTCATATTTGTCGCACCTGCGAATGAGCGGTTGTTAGTATGTCGCATCTGCAATTCAGTCTCTTTCCCATAATTTCTGATCATTGCATACTATATAACTGCAAAGGGCGCTCAAACCTTAAAAGGAAACTTGCATTCCTGTGCATCCTCCTCTATCTGCAAGTTGTGTCTTCTTTGGTAAATAAGACCTCAAACACTATATGATGAATGTTTGAGCAACGAAATGCATATTCAAGCATATGACAATGGGATCCAGTTGGTATATTTGTCCTCAATACTTTTACTACATTTGGTGTTGCACTATATACAGTAGGTATAACCGTTCTTGGTGTGCTGTGATTCTCAGTATGGAATTGCATAAATATGACAGAAGAAGTAAAAGTAAGGTGAGTATAAGATCTATTCATTTAGAAAGAAACAAAACTTCAAAGAAAAAAACACATATAATTGAAATAGCATGACAATTGTCCATGGAACTATGTATATATATATATATCTAACAAACACCCTGCTAGAAACAATGCATAACATTAACAAAATTAGAATCCAACTATCAAAAGAATGAGAAGGAAATGAATAAACAACCTCTTCATGAGTATGACAAAATATAGCATCTAATAAAAATGATACCTATATAACAGTTGTGGAGAAGAATAAAACAAAGACCTAGAAATATTACTTCAATAAAGTCAAAAAGCAAAATGTCCGTATAGATTATCACATAAGAGATTATGGTAAAGGATATCATGACAACGGTAGAAACCACTTATGCAATTTATGCTGAAGACATTCAAGAGGTTGTTGCCATCTGATACCAGAGACTGCTCTGGAATTTACAGAAAGTGGAAGTGTGGTCTACGATCAAATGAATACAGTAAGTCAATGTTCAAATACCATAAGTATAATAAGAAAACATGATAAAACAGGAACAAAAGTGCATTTGCATATGTCAATGATGAACTTGTCCCCATATGATTCAAGAGACAATTCATACCTAGAACGCTCACACCATAAATTAAAAATCTGAAACTCTAGAGAGGGAATGTGAAGCCTTAGAAAGGATATGCTGGAAGCTTTTGCCAGGTCAAACTACCAAAATTATTTATTTACAGTAGAGAGATTATGAGGTGATATCTCAAGACCCAATTTACCCCTTGCTACAAAACAGCATTTAGAAAATTGATTAATAAACTGATATACAAAAAAAATTAACATTTGCATAAAATGAAATCAAACATATTTGTCAGCAATGTCCAATTTGAAAATGCAAAAATTGTGCGTTCACCCCCCCAGAGAGGAAGGAGACTTCAACGTCACCGGATGTCGGTCGCGTCTTTGTTCCGTGAGGTCAATCCGCCCCGTTGGGTTTTTGGGCCGAAGGCCAAGGGGGGGGCGAATTCGGGTGTTTTCAGGACCAACGCATGCGAACTCTCACATTGTACAAGCTGCTTGTGCAGTAGCTCGTGTCAACAGCCAATTTGGGGGATGTCTTTTCGTGACCACCACCAAGGTCTTGCCATGGACATGTGTCCGGGGAGTACAGGCGCGGCCCCAAACCTGATCGCAGGGAAACGGTACCATGCTGCAGATTGGTGCTGGAAAGGGATATCACATCGTTGATCTGTGTCGAAAGGATACTTGTGGGAACAAAGTAATGTATTGCATCCTGTTATTAGTTATAAGAATTGGGAGAACCCCCTAAATGGGAAAAGTAAAAACATACCAAAACCATCCAAAACCCCTTGGTTGGGGGAACATGACTTGTGAACAGCTGTCAAAGCGAACGTCTTCCAAACACCTTGCACCTCGCCGTATGCTACGATGGGTATCGTGGCTGTTAAGTGTATCAACCACTGGTGAGCGGATGTTTCGTAGCAAACACTGTGCGAACATCATCCTGTCTGTTCCCGTTGGTTGAGGCTCTCCCTATTGCAATAAGAGGCCAGTAATTCGAATCTTCCTCATGTCATGAGTACATACACCAAACCGCACCCAAGTCCTCCAAGAACTGCTGGAATTTCATCACATGTCGAGCGTGCGTCCTGGAGGCACCGTGCCGTCCCGGTGGATCGAAACTGCAGACCCGGATGGGTACAGCGGAAGGACGCACCCAGGTCGGTGTTTTTGGGAGTTCGCCGACCCGTCCCATCGAGCGAGCTCGACGCCAAACCCCCGGCGTGTTTGGGTTCCGGGACAGTGCCCTGGAGACACAGGTCTCGTGGTGCCATGAACCCAGACCCATTTGGATGGCACGGGAAAAACCGGACACTCCTCGCTGCTGAACCCCAAGGGAGCGAGGGTCGCACCCGGAACTCCCAACGCCTCCAAATCTGCTGCAAGTCCTCCCTGTGCTCGCCCCAAGAAAGTGCCGCATTCCGTCCTGAAGTTGGGTGGGATAGGAGTTCCCTTCGGCAAGTCGGAGCTCAAGGTATTGAAGGAACAGCGCGGTGTCTTGGGCGAAGGCTCCGCGGGCTCATCTGCGGGCACATCGTCCTGAGGGGGACGGGTGGGGGGGACAGCAACAGCGGCAGCAGCGGTGGGGGCAGGTTTCAGTTGCAGCAGGTTGGCACAATCGGAGAGGTCGATCGAAACGTTGAATTTATGTAAATAATCCTTCTTGTGACTCGTGTGGAGTTCGAAAGTCCGAGAGTGGAGTACCCGGGGAAGAAGTGAACATGCAGAGCGTAGACTCGGCGTAGCGGCGGGCAACGAACCTTCACGTCTTCGTTCGCATCTTCACCGCAACTTCGGCCAACCCGAGTCCTCCGCCAAAACATCCTCTGGCTTCCGAGGCGTTGATAAGGAAAGGAGACCAGCTCCAGGTGCCATGCGATGCAACAAAAAAGGAGCGGCCTTAGGCTGTCTGGGGCTTGAACATAAAAAAGGGAGCTGCCAGAAAGCTGCTGTGTGAACCGAAGTGGTCCGAAATCAGAAAAAATACGGTGACTTGGTAGGTCTTCCAGGCTCTGACTTCCACGTCCGGAGCCGGACCCAACTGCATCTACGTCTATCTGGAGAGACACGGGTGCTCAAACGCATACCATCTGGGCTATGGCTTACCACAGTGGCAAGTCAGGATCCCTACCTAACCAATTTGGGGTGCGGGATGGCCTCTGCTCATCTAGAAGACCGTGGTATTGAGACTCACACTCTTTCAACCATGCATGTCATGATCATAAGCTGAGGTCAACTATCCCCCTTCACCGTGCCTCTTCATGCGCTCGCCTGTCCGGTTCAAACGCATGTGTACTGCGTACCCCTTCAAAGCAATTCCACGCTTGGCAATCAACACCTAAGCACAATGCTGGGGCCTACTAGGGCTTCAACCATTTTGACAGAGTCTGCTTACCTGGCCGCCAGCACCTGGTTGATTTGGGCTGCTAGGAGCCCAGCATCCCTGGGCTCCCCAACTGGACTCAGTTTCACAAGGCTCAGCCAAACGCATCCGAAGAATGGACATCAGATCACAAAAGGATGCTTCACAAGGAGCCTCTACTCACCCCACTCCCTTGAAGTTCTTCACTCAGCTCAAGAAGAACAGGAAACACGTCTCTGATGCGTCGGATAGCTTGCAGAGTTCCACTGCCCCGTCATACCGACAGCGGGGGAAGCTCTCGAGGATTTTGGGGGGATCGGTCCACCAAAAACCACGAAACCCGCCGCCGGTTTGGGGATGCCTGGAGACAGACTCGAAGCGCGGCCGCCGAGCCTAGCAGGCAGAGAAAGTCCCTCAAGGGTGAGGGTGTTGACCAAAAAACACACAGCGCAGCGAGGGTATACTGATATGCGTGCGTGTGTGCTTAAGTAGTCTTTTGATGCATAAACTTGAGATAGGAGAGGGTGAACGAAAGGTAGAAAATGGGCACGAGGGGAAAGGAGAGAGGATCGCAAGCGGTGAGTCCAAGTCTGTACTTCTTATTTGCTGCTGCTCTGCACAAGACCAGATTTGCACCCAAACCGCAACGGCACAGGTGGGATTTGATCCAGGGGGGCCCCCGCCCCTATGAAGAAGAATCCTTCCTTACAGGGCCAAACTCAATGCACAATCCCAACTCCAGATTGTAATGCATGTTTGCTAAAGCAAGGAGAACTCAGGTAGCTCTGCAGCTACCTTTTCGTGGTATGTGCCACGACACGGCTCTCTTTGGCATGATCATGGCTTCACTTGAGGAGTTCTTGGTCACTCGGTTTCGGGTGCATCGACTGGACCATCGACTCACAACTCAAAGAGTCGGAAGGACCGATGAGGAGTCTAATGCTTAGTCTAATGCTTAGTCGACATATATTACAAAAATGGGTTCATATTACTATATATAATAAGAGTGTATAACTTAGGTATACTACGTAGTATAAATCATGCACAATCTAGAATACATCCATGCCTGACAGCCCTTGCTTGACCCAGTCCCAGCTTCCCAGTTCACTCGTTTTTCAGCCCCTGCGTCTGCTTCGACCCCCACCTCACTGGGGCGGGCCTCGGGCGGGTCGACAGACTCGCCGTTTCTTCGAACGCCGGACATGCCCATGTGGGAATTACCATGTCAAAAAGACCATCAACAGAGGTCGCTATAGTCAAAGACCACCAGTAGGGAGATGCTCCTGTTTCCTACTGACGGAAAACCCTTAAAAAACCACCCCTACCCTAGTTGCGCTCATATTTATTTACGCCAAGTCCAGGACAAGAGTGCCACTTATGTCTTGCAAGCTTTGTCCGACAAAAAGTCCATCGGTCTACCCTTGAGACAACCCTTCCCAAGCCCCAAGCTCTGCTTCACTGAACAAAAAGGCTTCGGCATCCCTCTGCAGTTCACCCACTTCCGAGGGAAGCGCAAGCCCGAAGCCTGCTGACCCGGCTGAGACTCCAACGGCACCGTCGTCGCCTCAGTTGGCGGGGCGCGCCGCAGGCGGGGGGTTATAGGGGCCCTTTTTCTCCACAGCCAATGGAAATGACTTGTTGGATCAATGAGACATTGACATGAATTTACAGACATGTCTATAGACTCTAGACCATCGCCTGATAAGGATGAACATGATGGTAATTAATGGTTATGGTCCCATCATTGATGCATCTATTGCGGTGTGTTCGTCGCAGCCATCCTCTTCGTCGTCTTCCCCATCGACCGAGTCTCCTCGATCGACGGTGGGAGGTCTCGACCGGGTCTCCCCACAGAGCTTTCCACTCAGTTCTTGGACCACCTGACGAGACACGTCTCGGATCGGCCATACGAGTCTCAGACACGACAGGTGACGAGACACGCTCAAGTGTCCTTTTGGGTGATGGTCCAGCTTTCGTGTCAGGTTTTGATCCGGCGAACTGATGCACAAGCTCTGAGAGCGTGTTAAACTTGAACTCAAACAAAGTCTCGTGAAACAGACAAATGTTTCGAAAACATAGATCGAAGTTCGAAGCATTGTTTTTGGGCGGGGGGAGCGCACCAAAGAACGTCGCTAAGAAGACAAGAAGGCTAGAAGTACCACCGAAAGTGGCTGACAGCGAGCTTCTGCACTGTTAAAAGCAGCTGACACGAATCACTGGAGAGTTGGCCACCCTAGTCTTTAGTGCAGAATCAATGAAGTTGCACTCTGCATCCTGCATCATCCCGAGTAATTATGAAAGTACAAGTACTTGCTAACTAGCATCTACTAGCCACGCTTGGCTGATGCCAGTGCCACCGGCCGTGCCGGGCTAGACCCGGCGGTGACGACGCGACTCGTCCGAGGACGAGTCGGTCTCCGCAGTTCGATCGGTCGAAGGCGCCTCAGGTGGAAGGCCCAAGTCCCCATTCTTGTCGATCATCCTGAGACGGAACCGTCCCAAGGTCCCCGGACCCGGGTGGAAGGCCTGTCCACGCACGCATGTCGATGCGTGCTTCAACGCATCCCTGGTTTCTGGAAGAGAAAACATGTAGCTGCTGGGTCCACCGAAAATGGGACCACTGAACCAAGGGTTGGCGTTCCACTAGGAGAATCACCACACCTCAAACTGCCTCGAATCCGCCGTGGACTGTGCCACCTGCGACTGTCTGGTCCCTGGTCAATGCTTCGTACTTCAAACTGCGAGGTGTTGTGACAATGATTGGTAACTCGAAGTCATAATATAACAACCCCAATTGTTGTTGCTGCTTGGACACGTCCCTGTGCAGAGACCCCACGGGAGACCCCCACGCGCGGAGGTTCATGATCACTTTGGTCGCTGAGTCCTGGCGACACCGAGAATGCTCCCATCCCATCACGAGTGTGCCACGAATCCCGCCTTCCTGCCTTCAGCCTTCATTTTTGTGAGTGTCGCGGGTGGTCTGGTTTGGTGTCTCCAGTTCAGATTCTCTGAGGAAACGGTTCCTTAACTTGAAACTATCAGTATTACTTGGAGAAACTCAAGAGAAGAAAGGATCAGTTGGGGTCGAAAACCTCGCTCTGGTGAGCATGGCCGAGCTCAAATCCACAAACCGGTGACGTTGAGAGGCGGAGGAGAGACGAGACAGCTCGTTATTTGATAGAGCTGTAGGACAGAATGCCAGAATCTCAACTCAGCACCGTTGGGTTCTCCGAGTACCACTTAAGAATTACGGACCACACCATCATACGGTGGAAGTGAACCTGCAAACTCAATAGTATGCAAATGTATGCAAAACAACAAGACCATACAAAACCCATATTAAACAAAAAACTGAGGGATATGAGCAGTTGCATATATGTTGGACTGACTGCCTCACTGCAGCCGGGGTCTGAGTCTCAATGACTGCCTATAGTTTTATGGTTGTTGTAACTGTAGCTTGTCTTTAAAAACAAATAGTAAAAAAACATCATATAGATTATCCTAATCTCAAATGGACTGCCAGGAAATCACCAGCAGCGGCTCTGCGGCAGGTCGCTCCTGACGCTTGGAGGGTTCGTCGCCTGGGCGGCCGGTGGGCAGCACAGCCAGGCCTCACTTTCCGTGCAAAAACAGGAACTTTCCCAAGATCCTTCTGCTTTGCTCCAACCAGATTCGTCACAGTCTCATCAATTGGAGGCCGAAAGCCCTCCACCACCCACAACCGCATCAGTGCATCAGTGGTGTTGGTTCCCCGTTTCCGTCGCCCGTTCCTGTTGCGCTCCGTGACCGGCCGATGGTCGTGTCCTCGCGCCCAAGTCCGGCCACCCGCACCTGGCAAAACGCCAAAGGCTTCGACGCTCGCCTGTGCAGTGAGTCACAGCAGAGGCTGGCAGTGGACTTTGGGGAGCTGGCTTTGCATGTCTTTTTTGCCATACAGACTGCATGTGTTCAACATGTAGACTACGGTCTACCCTTGAGTTTCTCCCTTGACAAATGCACATTGAGAGTTGGTCTTTGACCCTACTATTGCGGGTTGTACAGTGACTTCCCTTCCTTTCACCACTTGCCAATGACTTGTGCCGGGCTCACCTGGGTGGCAGCCCCAGGACTGGAGTTGCAGCCTGGCGAAACGTTGGAGCACACAGCGCGTTCCTTGGGTCCCAAGGTTTGTGGGTGAGAACCCAAAAATGAAGCCACGTGGGCTTTGGTGGACGTTTTCCACACGAAAGACGCCGAAAACGCTTCACGAGTGCGCCGCTGGAGCGGGAATCAAAGGATGTTCCACCAGAAACACCGTGGGGGTCCACCGAGAAAACGAGCCCCAACCCCATCCGTGTTCCGCCCAGTTTCCGCCGAGTTCCGCCAGAAACACCGCGCCTGTCGAGCCATCACTGTCTCGTGGCTCTTCCTGGCGCTCCCAAGAGCGGGAGGACGGGAAGGACAGAAAAACTTTGTGGGTCGAAAACAGTCAGTCAAGACATCTCTTCCTGAAAAAAGAAAGCACCGGCCATGCAACTTCCTCTCCGCGAGTTCTGTCAGACCTCAACTCTCCTCTCCCCAATGATCAGCCTCTAGAATCCTCACCATCAGGTGAAAAAGCAAAGAAACAACAACAACAACAACAACAACAACAACAACTTCTTCTTCTTCTCACGCGCCCAAGGAGGTTGCGCAGCCGTTCGCGGGCACTCATGGCCGGCGGACTCCATTGGAGTACATTTGGATTACATCAAGCTGAACGGGCCGTGGCCAAAAGTTCAGCAGGCTTCAACCTTTTGCTTGGCCCTAGGCCATGACATGTGCTACATTCAAAATTCAATTCCATCATCAAACAAAATTCGGCAATTGGTGCCGACATGGAAAGTTCAGTGAGCAGGAACAACCTGCTTGCCTCAGTCCTTCACTGGGGCTGACAAGGCTCGATCTCTCACCAGCGGCGGTCGAAGCAGCGGCCATCAGCAGCGGCCCGGCAGGTTCAGGTGCTCATTGGACGAGGTGGCAGCCGGCGTCAGCGCATCAGTGATACGCGCCAGCAGCTGCTCCAGGCGCCGCTGATCTGCATGTGGTGTCTGTTCTGTCCAAGTGGCAGGTACAGAGGGCCAGGGATCAGTCCTAAGTGCATCGCCTAAGTCATCAGGATCATCCGCTTCGGACAAGGTCGACTCCTGAGTCATAGTGGTGTCTTCCAGAGCCAAGGGACCCAGGGTGTCCAGCACAGGTGCTGCAAGATCAGCTGCCATCGGAAATGATGAGTCAGGCACGGCGGTGGCCGGGCAATACCAAACCAAGTCGCTCTTTTGCCCATTGTGGCAGGGCTGTGTGCACCTGGGCCTGCTTGGCATCATCAAGCTCATACCAGCAGGGCGGATTCCACGCTCTCAGAAAGGTAATGAAGTGTCCAGATGTCCTGCTGCCTAAGTGCACTACACCTGAAACAGGCACGTGGGGAATCCATGTCAGGTCAATGGTCCTGGCATCCGTGAAGAAGGGCAAGGAGAGCTCGTCCTCCAGCTCAATCAAATTGTGATGACCTAGGGCAGGCATCAGCATGACAGATCTGTCAATGTAAATGCATTTCAGAGTGCCAACCGAAGTGAAAGCGGATCGCATCGACTCTGCATGTATCCAGGGCTGCAGGAGTTGTGTCATGGTCGGTGTAGGGATGTCCAACTCATACAAACAGTCCAGTGCTATGGGGTGTTGCCATGTGCCAGCCTCAGTGCGCTCGACTTTTGAACCTGCCAGAAATCGTCTTTCCCATGTCATGGAAATGGCTTGAGTTTCAAGCCAGTCCACAAGTTCAGAAACGAACTCCCCAACATCTCGAGGCATACACTTCTGAGCCGCATGACTGAGAAGGTCAGGGAACGAAAAGGCCACGCTTGTCCCCGGCATGGTCTGAAGGCGATGAAGAAAGGCTCGGACAGGTCTAAGCTGAGAGCCAAAGTCATCAAGAGAAAAGCTGGATCGACCCAGCAGTGCCCACAGGGTGCATAAGAGGCCAGCATTGGCCCAGCACCAGCAACTGTCGTTGATCAGCTGCGCTCCCAAAAGAGCTCCACAGAGAATGTCTCTCAGTGGCGGCGGTTCCCTGGACGGCGGGGGTATGCTATGTCCTGAAGTTCTTGTGCAGCTCTCGATCGTTGTTGTGAATGAGCTTTCAATCTTCCGGCCACAAGCATCCAAATTGCAGATCCGTGGAGTGCTTTCATCTCGCACATCAATGGGTCGTTCCTCATGGCCAGCTGGATTTTCCAGGGCGTTACCCCGGTCGTGTTCCCTTGGCTCTTGAGAGCAAAGAAGCGGATCAGGTTGGTAGGTTCTTGGAGTGCCACATGAAGCCGTTGGAGCTTCTGGTCCATCTCGGTGGTCGAAATCCCTTGTGTCTGAGCGGGCAGAAGACATTTCTGCTGGTGGCACCATTGAAGATAGGGAATCGTCCCGTCCTCCAGGATGACCTTGGTCTGAATGCTGCTGCGGCGAAATTCCGGGTCGGAGAGCTTCGTGCAGAAACTTTTGAATCTCCGCATCAGTTCTTCCATGAGAGTCCGCATCAGGACTACCCTGAGAGGAGAGGTGTTGGTCACTTGTTCTTTCCAGTCCTGGGCTGCTTGGATCAGGAGCTGTGTCATGCCCTGAGTTCCATGGGTGAGGAACAGGATACTCTGATCCTGGCAAGCTAGCGCATTCAATGCGTCCTCGTGCCTCAAGGAGATGACTGCTAACATCCTGCAGAGCTGCGGGACCTGGTCGGCTGGAGTTGAGTTGTCTGGCGTCGTTGTCATCAAGGCACGACGTCCTCTCGACACTTCCGGGTGTCCTGTTTTGATCTTCTTGGCCGAGGTGGTTTGTCTCGCAGGCGTCGGTGCGTCGGCGAGCATACCTAAGAATGCATCCTGCATCTGGTTGAGCTTGTCCTCTTCGTTGACCTCTTGCTTGTGTTCGTCCATGGCGGATGAAGTCAGGTCGAGTTTGAAGGTAGAGGAAGGCCAAATTCTGAAGGATGACACATCAACAACAACAACAACAACAGCTGCTGCAAGAAGCTACTAGTCACAAGGGCAGTAGACTACTAGTAACACCAGTAACAAGGGCAGTAGACTACTAGCAAGAAGCTACGAGTAAAAACCACCTGGCCAAGGTGCACGGCACACGGGCAACCGCCAAGTCATCGGTCGCCGAGGTCCAAGTCGCCTTGGCCAACTCCTCCGTCGCTTCGAGGCCTCGGCCGGGCCGAAAAGGGGTCCGACCGGAGGGCCACACCTGTGGTGGCTGGGCCGAACGGCTGGGCCAAGCTTGTAGGAAAAATGATTCATACTAATATATATATATATAGAGAGAGAGATATATATATAATATATATATATATTATATACTGTGTATTTAATGTATATATATGTATTATAAAATTATATATGCGAGATGGGAAAGTCCATCCTCTCTCAGAATGTATGCCATACTGTATGTTTAGGGGACCAATGTTCCCCCAAAAACTCTGCCCATGGTCCATGCGTGATGTGTTGCCACTGCCCTGGATATGGCAACCCTGAGCGTTGCGGAGAAGCTAAAATTAGGCAAATTCCTGCAATTAACTTGCTTGCTTCCTCTTCTGGATTTTTGGGTTGTGTTATTGGTGCTATTATGACCCGTGTTTTGGAGCACAAAAACATTGTCATTGTCCCCTCAAAACAGTTGCAAGGGCTCTCCGCGGTCGATACCCATTCGTTACCGCAGCCACCTTCTGCCCTTCGCATCTCTCAAGAAAAGGTCTGTTGTCCGGTTCGACGTCGGCCCTTCGCGTCTCTCAGGACCCTCACCAGCCATGGCGACACCGCCCCGGCGACACCGGGTGCGCTCGGCTCCACGGTCCAAACCGGTCACGGCCACGAGGCGAGCGGCGGGGTGCGGAGCGGTTTCAGGATGACCAGCGAATGATCCTGTGAAAGAAAAAACAACAGAATAATTATATAATATAGGATTCAAGAACCTGTTACCCTTGGCTCGAAGACTTGGGCCGCACCTCGGCCCAAGTAGGATCTGGGTGTCGGAGCAGTGTGGGAACGATCGACCCGTTCCACGCGAAAGAACACAAATGGCTCGACCCCAAAGAAGTGTACTCAACAGCCCAGTGGACGCCCAGCATGTGTCGAGCGCTGCGGTTTTCACTGCTCACACTCAGATCCCGGATGGACTTTCATCAGTTCATCGAATGTCCGAGAAGTGGCGGAAAGACGTTCGGAGGATCTTAGAGCTGTTCATAGAGCGTAGAGCTCAGTTGAGCAGCTCTCTTTGCCACGGAGCTGTTCATGGTGACCCACACAAAACGATGTGTGGTTCGCTGTGCCACCACACCACGCCCAGGTGGGAAGAAAAATCCTGATAGAAGGATCTTACCCCAGCTTTCCCAGAAGTCTCATCACCATTCCCCCATGGGTTTCAACAGTTTACCTCAATGTTCCGCGTCCCCCCACCATTCCCATTCGCCCCAAGAAGCGCCCTCCATTCGCCCCGCAGTGAGTGAAAAGCCTTTTTGGCCTCTTCCGAAGCGGACGTGAAGCACCCTGACGTTCCACGGGTCAAGCAGGGTAAGGTGCTTTTGTGGGCGGGTAAGGTGCCTGGATTTCGGGGGAGTGGACGGTGCTTGCAGAACCCCAAAAGAGATGCGTTTAGCCAAGTCATGGAATCCGTTCCTCCCACGAACATCTCAGCTTGGTGTCTGACACTTCCAAGCTTCCCCATTAAGAAAACCTTCCATCACCCACACCTTCGAACCATCTGCACTAGGGCACACTTGCCACTTCCAAGCACTGAAAAGCTCCCTCATCCAGACGGACGGCCGAGCACCTCGGCCTTCATCTGCAGAGCACCCCAGCCTGGGATGCCACGGGGAGTGGAGATTGGCCTTGCTGGTAACCAACACCAGAATGGGTCGCCAGCCCCTGGTGTTTGGCCAGCACAAAAAGATCGAATCGCCACTGGTGTTTGGAGCCAATCGACACTCAACCCCCCCTTAGAAAGAAAAGTATAATGAAGGCAGAAGCGTGTGCTCTCCACAATCCCTTAAATCAGGCCATGACATCATGGCATTTCTGGTCCCAAAAACGGAAGACTTTATATAGACCTGAAATTGTTAATGCGAATGCCTCAATGAAGAAAACCAATGGTAAAGCGTAGCAGCGAAAGCACACAAAATGCCCCCACATCTTGTGCACATGTTCAACTCCAAGAACATGCCAGACCTTTTACACCCAAACATATCAGCAGAAATTAGACCTTTTAAGAAGAAGACGCTGTTGCCCAGACCTTTCTTGGACATCGCTCCCATCCACCGATCCCCATCCACCAACTGGGGTTTCCAGGCATCACACAGCACGAAGTCCACCGAGCTTGGCACCTCAAATAGGGGGAAAAGACCGGACCGGTGTCCTGTCGTTGTCGGCGCGTGGCTACGAAAAAAGAAAAGTGACGAGCACGAGCATTCCTCGAAGATGGGGAGGAAGCGCCGTGGGGAAGCCGGCTCGCGCCGTGTTTCCACGGGAGGAAGCCGAGCGCTGTCGCACGGCTCGCCGTGTCGAGAGATCCAAACTATTAGAAACTCCTCATAGGAGTGGTGAGGGAAGTCTGCGGCTTCCATAAATAATAGCGAACGTATATGTACAATCAGATATAAAACTGGTGCTTTTTGCTTTTGCACGGCTTGGATGTCCATGGATTCCCAGGTGTTGATGATGGAAGAGGTGGGGCCAATGACCGCAACTTGCATCAATATAGCGAACACATGCGGCATGAGGCATTCAAAACCCCACAGGGTACTGTATCTTTCTTGGCAATTATCATACAATTGATTCTACCCCGTACCCAAAAAAACGGTGTCTTTTTGTGTGGGGACAAAAATGGAGGCTGTTCTTGAAGGCTTCGACTCATCGTTCACGATGTTGCATGGATAATGATGCATACACTCCGACTCACTTGCATGGAAGTGGAAAACCCCCTGTGTGTAAAGGAAAGTAGTCTTCCGATGAGGCCATTTTCCCCTTCCATGTTAGTGAGTCAGAGTGTATATCATTTGATGATTTGGTAGATCAGTTACAGTAGTTTAACTGATGTCTTTGTAAAGTTGTATCAATGCGCAACCTCATGTTCTGCGCAGCGGCAAAGTAGCATGAACATTTTGTCCGACCAGCCTGCTGCTGGCCGTGAGCATTTGGCAAACCTGGCCGAGCACTTTGCATTCATACGCTCGGACCTTAGGCTGTCCAATGTGTGGTGAAACCCTTCCCTCACAGCCCCTGATGGAAGTGGAGAGGCTTTCTTGGACCAGTTGAAATAACTTCGATGAGGACGGCTGAGGGAGGTCCCCAAGAATTTCAGTCCGTCCGTCCACCAAAGAAAAACGCTGCTGTTCCTTGGGCATGACTCATGACCCTCAAGGCCCCCCCTTCACTCCTCACTTCTCACATGGCCTCGTTTGGCCATCTTCACTTCGAGGCAGCCCGGCTTGAGCTCCAATCGCCGGGAGGCACACTGAGTCCTCGGTAGTGACGCAGTGGGAACTCGCGGCTCCTTTTCAGGGTGTCCCGACCAGGCAGGGTCTGCCTTGATCGATACGTTGCACGATTTGGGAACTGGATCATGTGCCATCCTGGTCAAAGGATGGAAAGGGTGGCTGGATCCTGTTCGCTATTGCTTTGCATGGTGAAGGGGATCCTGCCACACGAAATTCCAACCAGCTGGTGAAGCTCTTCGACCGAGGTCGGAACCCTGGCATCCGGCCGCCGGATACTTTGCACGATCTGAACTCGGAACATGCTTTTGGTCGACGCTCGCGTTTGATCCAGTCATGTCCACCCAACCGCCAGGCCTACAAGATAGAGAGATGGGGTGCACATCCACCAGTTGCAATATTCTGATCGCCCTGCTAAAAAATGAAACACTGATCACTGAATACATCTAAGTCTGGCACTGCACTTGGCACACAGAGGATGATATTGCTTGGCCTGCCTACGCAACAGAGCTTGCTGCCATCGCATGGCATACTGTACACAAAATGTACAACATGAGCTCTGACCTCCCCAAGTGCCCGCTTGGAAGCGTCTTTTCGGTGCCAAGTCTCCACAGCTGTCCCAAAGCCAAAGAACCCTCGCCCACCGTGTGGGAGAGAATCAACACGCAGGCTCCCCGTGCAGTGGCGCCTCGATTCCACATACACACACAAAAAAAAGAATGGATTGGGACTGCTCTTTGCGGGCATGGTGAATTGCCCTAGAAGCGTGGTGTCCCTACGATACTTCGTAGGTGCCAAAAAGTTATGCATTTGAATGTGTGTGTGTGTGTGCGTGCGTGTCCCCCTGTTTCAAAGGAATAGACACGCAAAATCAGTTGTACAAATGCAGTGGGCAGCACATCACTGGGCCGTCACTAACAAAGCTCCAGTGATGTAGCCAGGAGCGCCTCGGGGCATTGCCACATGCCGCAAAGAGCGCCATGCCCAGGCGAAACGCCACCTCTGTGTGCCGACCGCACAAATCAGGCCCAGAAGGCTGACGGAAATGCTCACCCTAACGTCACCCATGTGTTCTCTTGAAACAGAAACAAATACTGAACTAGTTGGTATTCTAAATGTTCATACTTGACTCTATTGTTGAAACTTGCTGCCATCTGAGAACACCATTTGGATGAGGCACTCTCCTTGTCACCCCACTGAATCATGAAAAACTGTGAAAAGAAAATGCATCCTGGATGGGTCATGTGACATGTGGGGGTATAGATCCTTTGGGTTCTACATGTATTTGTAAACTGGAGCCAAGTTACAGCAAATATACATATATGTACACGTAATACATATCCATATACCATCATATGAATATGTATGTGCATGTCTACCTCCACCAAAAAGTGAAAAAAAGATGGGGGGACCGAGCAACACCCCCAAGATCCCAAGATCTCACCAACAACCTCCGGTGTTTCTTTTCGTTCTGTCACAACACCTCTGTATGGCTCAAACGACACGGCAAAAAAAATGTCGATCAAAATGGCCAACTCCAGAAACAGGTCGCCCGGGAGAGTTCCGTCTCTGGGTCGCCGGATGCGCAACCAAACACTCCGGTTTACCCCTCGGTGTCGCGCACTGGCAGCTCGCCTGTGTGCCCAACTCGTGGCTGAGGTAAAGGGCGACCTGGTCACCGGAGAAACATGGCTTCGATGGGCGAAAACGGTACAGATCTGAACATCCGAGAATGGGATCTGAACATCTGAGAATGACTCGAGTTCTACTTCGATCGACTTGTCATCTGGCATGAAGAGAGACCCCACAAATGTTGCATGGTTCGAAAATACCCATGCGAGCCGGCAAATACATACATCAAATGTCAAAGCACATTTGAGGAGATAGAACATCGAACATTGCGGCAACTCTTCTCATATGTGTTTCTCCATGTTTTCCTTTAGTCGGCTTTTTAGGGCCCAATATATAAAAGAAACTCCCCAAATTCAAACCAAACGAATTGGATAGAATAGGGCCCTCTTCAAATTGAGTAAGATGGGAGAGGTGTACTGGATATGATATGTTTGACAATTTAGTGAGACAAGCACCCAGGCGCTTGCCTTCTAGTAAGGTGGCATGTGTTCGCCCAAATCACGACCTCGATTCCCAGCCATGGGGATTGAAAGCCTGCTTCCGGCAGTCTCCACAAGCAGGAGCCACAACCGAAAACGCTCCACCGATCCAAGCGTAGCGACCGACCAGGCTGGGGCCTTGCTGCTAGCCCAGCACACTTCTGCCCGCCCATCCGCCCGCTGTCCCCCATTCCGCCCCGGACAGCAGCGTCGTCAGGCCGTCGATGATGACCTGGAGTCGTGCGTATGCGTATGCGTGCGTCGCGGCGCGGGCATCGAAGCGGAGACGTCCCCAAAAAGGCTGGAGTGTTGAATATGGGTTGTGCGCCTTGTGGAAGCACCTGATCTCCAAAATGGAACTGAAGTTCACCACCAGCCAGTGGAAATGCAGATCTACGATGCTATAGCAATCTCTCTACTACAGGATGGGACTTCATCAACATGGCCCCCGGTCTCAAGGAAGACTCTCACTCTCTCACAAGCTTAGCACGCAGCTTCTGAATGGATAGGCTTGAGTGTAAAAAACACAAGCTGTTCTCTTTCCCCCCTCCATCTTCTGTTCAGGCCCAACTGGCCCGAGAGACACCTCTCATCTGGCACCTTCAAAGTTTCACGCTTCAAACTGCGTGAAGAAACTGGTACACTGAGAGGCAGTGGCAGAAGGAAAGCGATCGAGGCACTGCCCACACCAGCACTCTTCAGTCAACCTCCTTTCAATGAAGGATCCCTTCCAAGCATGCTTTTCCAGGGCCTAGCAAATCGACAACATGATGAGAGGCTTTTGATTTGGGTCCCTAAGCGGTGGGCGGCAGAGCCTCCTTCTGTACAGCTGACAGCCACATCTCTCTTCTCTCTCCCTCTCAATCTCTCTTCTCAACTCGGCGCGGGTCTACACCCGCGCCGAGATCAAAAGCCCATAACGTGAAGCTCAAGCTCGGCCCAGGTGTACATACCACCCAGCTCCAACGCCATTCCCAGGTGGGGTGCGAGCTGCAGGAACCCTCGCACTCAGAAAGGTTCCCGCGGCTCGAAGGTGGCCGCAGCACCGGGCTTCTTGTCGATGAGGTAAATCTTGCCCGTGCGCACCTCATCCTCAGGTGGATGAAAAAAGATAAACAAACTATGTTCACCTTCACTAGCGCACGGTGCGGTTAAGGGCAGCACCTAGGCTAGAACTCACGAATTACAAAAACTATAATTAACTGCAACAGGTGCGTAGTCTGGTCACCCCAGAAAAGCTCAAAAGAAAGAAACCGATCTTCTCTCAAGTCGCAGACCGGACCCATCGTGTCGGCCTGTGAAGGAAAGTAGATAAGGCTTAAGGGGCCGATGTTTGGATCTGGATCTATCAGTTCTTGATCTTGATTCAGAGTCGTTTTGCGGTTTGAGGCGGTTTGACCATCCTGTGTCTGAGAGGTAAGAGTCGAGTCTACATTGACCCAGCCGAATCCACCCGATGTCCCCTCAGATTTCCGAGCTCGAGACGATTCGGAGGCCGACCGATCGATCGATGCCGGTGCGTCCACCGTGCGTCCAAGGCCCGGAGGGCACGGGCACCCCCCGGAAACCTCCGCGCCCCCAACTCCCAACCGTCCAAAAAAGGAGAACCCGACAGCGAGCACGAGCGGTGTTTTGGGGGGGTCGACGCGGGAAACCGACCATCTTCTCTACACTTTAGGGGTGGGGTCAGCCCAGGAGGTCCATCTTCACATCTCTGCCGCGACAATCTCCGAGTCTCTGGGTTGACGCACCATTTCTCAATCTGCTCGGAGACCTCCTCCAAGCTGGCCCAAGTGCTACCTGATAGTTGGAAAAAAGACATCCCCAAACACACACAGAGCCCACCCCAACCCACCCACGAGAACTACAAAGGAACAGCTTCAAACCACCTGGTTTGACAGGACGAACGATCCTCTCATGACCCTCAATAGCACGGTCATCACCCAGGTGCGATCCGCGTCCGGCATGGCCGCGCGGTTCTGCGGCGTATCCAGGATCTGCGGGGCCAAGCCGATGGTCACCGGGCCACCCTGCGCCAGCGAGCGCACGAGGTGGTGCACGGCCGCCTGGAGCCCAGAAGGAACGTTCCACCGGACATCGGCACGGCACGTGGGGGTGGAGGTTGCTGGGTTTGGAGGATCAGTTCGAGTCATAACGAGTCAATATGTATCAACATGTCATTGAAAACTCTCCAAAAAAAACGGTAAAGGCTGATTTGAAAAGAACCAAATCCACCACTGTGCCTGGCTGTGCCTCCTTAGGTCCTTGTTTCACCCACTTGTATCACTTGTGATCCTTCTAGCCCCACAAGCTCACGCGGCCACCTTAGCAGTCCCATACGGCAGGCTCCAGGCTGTTGGCCCCCAAGCAGCCGCTGCCCCCGGCAGAATCACGAGGCCCTTGGGGCTCAAAAGCTCAGCCGACACCTGGTAGAAGGCAAGAGTGGAAACAGACACGTCAGCGGTGTCCATTGGAAAAAGCGATGTAAACCATGTGGAGTCCAAGAATGGACAACCTTTGTTCGTCCTGCGAAGCGGCACTTAGAGGCAACATCAACCGACTTGAGAACCCGTGGAAAGGAAAACGGGAAAATTCACCGCCTTCCATGAGCACGGGGCCCCCGCGATGGATCAAGAACCATGGCGTCCAAAACCCCACACGAAATCCAACGAAATCAACGGGAGTCCTCGACACCGGGAGGGTGGTGTAGCTGGGCTGTTGCAATCCCAACCCTTCTTCCATGAAACATCTGTATACCCAGCCGTTTGGCCAAGGTCTTGGTTTCACCCGCCACCCGCCTGGGCCGCCACAACTGACGAATACACAGAGCTCTCCACCATGGTCATGGTCTTCGCCAAGACCTCCACAGCACCGATCGGTCAAGATACGCAACCCATTGGATCCCGCGAAAGCCGTGTTTTTTCGCACCGATCACGTCAACGGCCGAGATAGACCTGCTTTCAAAGGCCGCGGGGCGCTTGCAAGCGCGCCCCGCTTCAGAAAGGGGGCAACACGTCGGCAAGTCCCTTCTCACGAGCCTCTCTCTCTTTCGACCTTGGGCGCGGGTGTTGGTTCTCCATCAGGTTTGCACTTCTCCAGTTTCCCTTGTTGGCAAACCGAACTTTGTGGGGACTCAGCCTGGCATCCCTGGGTCCTCGGCACCTCTGGGTCCTCGGCGGCGCCCATGGCGAAGCCGCCGGCCACGTTCACCACAGCATCCAAGCGGTCACCCTGAAGGCGGTCCTAACGAAACAGCAGCTTCGCCACGGGGGTGCCCGGAGCTTGTTTAAGAGCCAAGGGAACCAACAGGCTAACAGGCTAACAGAATCTAACAGGTACCTTGCTGATTAAGTTTATTGTTGGTTTCAGAAACCTTAGCTACAGGCATTGCATGCTGGTTTTGCAGCAAATGAATGATACAAAGCTCGGAGCCCCTGACTTTGCTAGTCTTTGCCGCAGTAAACAGTCGTGCTTTGCCAGGACTAATGAGAAGCTTGGGCTTTCGCTCGAAAAAGCGTCTGCGGAAACGGGATGTTTGACTATCAGGTATGCTTCGGAGGTATGCGCCTTGCGCACGCCCCCGTGCTAGTTCTCAGTGGCCTGGCCCCCTCAAACACGAAGGTCTTGACCGTCCGTGTTGGCAAGACTCCGCCACTGTCTTTCAATTAGAAATGTAAGACTTCGGTCCTCCCCCATGGATTTTCATGGCTTTTCCATGCTTTTCCCAACCCGGGCTGCCCGCCCGGGTTCGGTGCTTCAGTCACCAGCAGGCCAGGGCTCTTTCAGTCGCAGGAGCAGATCGTGTCCCTGTTCCTTGCCGGGCTTCAAGGCGCCTTGAAGACGGCGGACCAGAGCGGTGAAGAGAAAAAGCATGTGGCTGCCGCGCAGCCACGTGAGTGGGCCGGAGGTCGTGCTGGGGGTCCAAGCGAAATTGAGTGATGGATTCTGAGAAGGGAATGTGTACTTCATGGCACTCTCAACTTAAGATCACTCAGCACCAAGGTATCAGAATCAACCAAGAAGGCGTATCCTCAAGGATTCGACCCTAATTTCCAACAGCCAAGTGACGTATGTTTGGCTCAACAGCCGGCTGTCCCCGGCTGTGATAAAATACGAGTAAAATTCCAAAAACACCAACTGCTCCAACTGCTCGTTCCGAGAGCCGCCACCGACCGGTTCGGCCCAGCGACAGAACTCCACGGCCTTCGGAACTCCTCGAGGTAAACCGGCGTGCGCGGAGCACGGCGTTCGGGAAAGTCGAAGGAGCAAACCAGGTGAGACGCCACATGAATACATGAATATATTAATGTCTTTTTAAAGCCCTAATTAGGGGGTTGGCCGCTAGGAGGTAGCTAGTAGAGATTAGGTAGCTAGTACCTACAAGTAAGCTACTAACTACTAGACGCAGGATAGCTCACGCTTCTAATGATTTGGTTCCTAGATTTTTAGGGAAACTAGTGATTTTGCTTCCACCTTGCGATGAATCGAAGTTCAAACTTGAGAGAGGAAATAGAAGCTTTGACCTTGGCATGTGACTTTTCCCAAGAAGAGCGATCCAGCTGTTTGCCATAAAAAGAGAACACACATCATAAGTTGCCCTTTGGCCCGGAATCTGTCTCCCCATGCCCCATCTCTCCCCCACATTTTCTGGAAAAAAAGGATATGGAGCAGCGTTTTCTAGATGCCACCCTTTTCATTTGAGATACCCCTGCCAAAGCCTTGGTTTGTTCATTCCTCTTGACTTTACTTGTTGATCGAACAACCTAAACAAGAGTCATGCCGCTCCCGTTCCCCTCAGGCGAAACCATTCAAAAAGTTCATGTGAGCTTTGGGTGAATACTAGACTCCCATTGTGGACCATATACTGTAAACACATCATCATGCACACCCCTTTTTGCGATGCCGGTTTACCTTTTCCCTTAAAAACACCCCCTGTTCTTATCCGCTCTGCCGCCGGCTTCCGGGCTCCTGCCGCATGCACATCAGCGCCCAGGGTCACCCAGCTGCCCGAAGCAAAGCGCTCGCAGAGCTGGCGGCCCAGCTGCCCAGCGGCGCCCAGCACCAGCACGCGCCGGGCCATGGGGCCGTGGTCGCGCCGTGGGTACCGCGAAGTGAGAATCAGCTCGGACTCGCTTCGACCTTCGGCCTCAACCGGGGATCTTGGCCTCTGTGTCGGAAGAATTGGCCTCTGTGTCCGGACTTCGGCGGATCCTTTGGTTCAAGAGTTGCTTTGTCTATGATTTATGATAGATTTATCATGATTTAGCTGCCACACTGTCAATGGATCGTGGATGAAGCGTGAGAACCCGTGTGAATTGAGAAAAATGGCCACCTGCAAGAAACAGAAGGTCACGCTCAGCCCAAATGCTCGGTTGCTTCCAAAAACGCGTGGTGTGGTGAAAAACAAAATGCTTCCAAAAATGCTCGGTCACCCCGGCCTTTACTTCTACTGTAAGAACCCCTAGTGTGACCACACTGTTTGGTGAAAATAAGGGTGATGTCTTCCCAACAAAAGAAACCTTTCAGCCTTCAGGTCTTCTTTATTGAAGACGTGACGACAGGGCTTTGTCTCCAGGGCTTTGTCTCAAGCTCGAGAGAGTGGTGACGGACCCGACCGGGAACGACATGGAACGACCAGTCACACAAGTCCAGACTCTGAGCCATCCGGGCCAGCGGCTGCTTGTCTTGGAAGATCTCCGGAGCAGCGAGGATCTGGGCGAAGTCCTCAATCTCGCGGAAAAGCCCCGCGGGAGAACAATCTCCGCGCGGAAAGCCGGGCAAAGAGCGGATCTCCAAGTCCAATCCCACCGAATTGGTCGCCAGATCGGGTCGTTGCGATCTCGCGGGTCACGGGTCCCGGGATTGATCATGGGTCAGTGGGATCTACCCGAGATCACGGGATGCATGGGTGCGAACTCACAGCTGGCAGATCGTCTTGGCAGATCTTGGCACTGGATCGAACAGCCTTGCAGACTATACCATAGTCTCACCCCCTCTCATCTGCGACATGTCTCCACACCATGGTTATGGTTGGGGGGACAAATTTTACAGCTCGGCACATAGAAGCTGACATCACCATCTTCCCAAGTTCTCGGCTTCCCCACTAGCCACACCACTGCCCAGTGGCCAGCCCCCCGAAGCACCAATGGGCCCTCCCGTTGGGCATGCCGAGGTGCTGTGAAGTTCATGGCTTGGTAGATGCGAACGTGCTCCAGAGCTGCTTCATCGATCTGACGTGAAGCCCCGTTCGGTCCATGCAGGCCGCGCAAGGCAGGCAGGGACGGCAGGGACGCTCAAGACGAGTCGGACAACTGTGACGGTTTTCTAATGGTCACTTCTTCATGTCCATTCCCACGGACCGTGACACCCTCACCTGTCGGGCTGCAGCAAGGCTCCCAAGGCGCTCGGCCAGCGCCCAGGGCGGATCCTGGCGCAAAGCACAGACTGCGCTGGTCTTGTGGTGGTTTTCATGTCGCTCCTGCTATGGGTCTTTTTGGTTCAAGCCAAAAGGTTGGGTCCATCCGATTCCTTGCAACCTTGCCACCGGTGCAGAAATACTCAACCTTTGCCAACTTCCAAGTACAGGTCAGCTTGTTCATCCACAAGACCAGACTTCCGCCGACCTGACCAGATGACCAGACTTGGCAGACCCACGGCGCTGACCCCCACGTCGCACGTCGATCCATCCTTCACCGTGACGTAAAGCACGGGCCGAGAAGCACAGCATGCAGCTGCAGACACCGAAAGGCCCAGTAAGGTCTTGCCTCACGTGGCAACGGGGTGCTGTTACCAAAACAAAGGCGTTGATGGCACGAGAAGCGATCTGGGTTTGTCTCAGGTTCATGAGGCTCATTCCCATTGATGTAGCTGCTGTTTTATTTGTGGCCTGTCCCTTATCTTCTTCGAGTGAGTCAGTCTCCTGCAAGCAGCAACTGTTTCTTGCATCATATATGCTTGATACCCTCCCAAACCGTTGGGACTCGTGTTCAAGCCGCCTCTGGGCCGGCAGCGTGGGGATTTGACCGTTCGATTCCTTTGGGAAGGCGCTGGATAGGGTCCTGAAGTGACACCAGAGTGGACTATGAGTGTGCCTTTTTGTAGGGAGACATCGTAGCCCAATCGGTAGACTAGTCTATGTCCCTTCTTCCAGCAGGTCGAACTGGGAGGTCTCCCCTTTAAAATACATAGCCACGAGGTGAATCAGAGTGATTCTAAGTAATTTTCGATGGACGACGTATTTGCGAAAACGTTGACCTTCCAAAGCGGGCATTGGGCCATCTAATAAGTGCAGTGGGATCAAAAAGAAGCTAGGACAGTATAGAACCCTTGAACAATGGCTAAACATATCTAAACATCCTCACCCATCTTCAACCTAAGCGTCTTCAAACCTGGAAGCTTTCAAGGACGGTCCACAGTGTTGAAAAACCGGTCCAAACCGGTGTAAACCGACCGGTCGTGACACCACGTCGCCTGTGCCAGGGGCACCGTAGACTTCACAGATCTCACCCGGGCGGATCGACAAGATCTCCTCGCCGGGGACGGGCCGATGCTGGGTGCTGGGTGACCCGACCGGGTGGAACTAGCCAAGGAGGTGAGCAGGGGTGGGCCGACAGGAGCTGGGAATGGATTGGTTATCCTGTGTGTGTGTGTGATTGATCTCCATGTTGAAGGCTCGGAACTCGAGAAGGCTCCGATGGTTCACATGGTCTGTTTTGGTGCAAGGCCTGGAACGCGGTGCAAGGCCGGGTTCCCCGGCCTCCAAACGTCCCAGCCCCAGCTTGATCGGCCACACCTGGCGCCACGGCATCGTCAACTCCACTCCGTCTGGTCCGTCCAATCGTGGAACATGGACACCGTGTTGCTTGAAGGACGTCCACAGATGCTGGCAACATCACGCAACTTCCCATCTGAACCGGATTGGGCCACGTGTCTTCTTCTCGGGGCTCATCCGCGCGGAAACCACTTTGCTCTAGGTTTGAAGCCTACTTCACCGACAGGATTCTGTGGCCAGCTCGACTCTTGACTCTACGAGCCCACCCCTACTCGGCGATCAGACCTAGGCCTAGGAACTCCCGATGTGATCTGCAGACTGTGAGGGATGAACAATGCGCCCACAAATTTCAGGCCGTGAAGCTTTACGTTCATTGCACAAGGTGTGTGGTGCCTGCTGATGTTTCAGACCAAAAGTGCCCAGTCTCTTCGGTTCGAGAAAATGCGTCGGTTCCTTTGACCCATCCCACGGTCCCGTCGATCGACACCTGAACTTGTTCTCCCTCTTCCTGGCGAGCTGCGTCTACGATGACCGAGAAGACTAGGCGAAGAGCGGCGCAGGGCGAAGAGGGCGTGGTCGACGATGTCTACGATGTGGCAGGAGCTGGGAGGTCCAAATCCCATTTGAAGGAGAGCTTTTGGCCTACAAGGTCATGCGCTCTTCCTTTTTGGCCAACAAAAAGGGAAGGTCCTGTTCGGAGACACAAAATAAACAAGTCTGCTTCACCATGCTTCACCTCTTGTGGAAGACACCGAGCATCACCGATGGATGATCCCCCCAAAAAAAACGGGGGATGGCTGGGATGGCTCGAAACCATTCTTTGCACAGATCAGAAACGGTGATCAACTTGTACTCATTTGGATCGACGCCTGCGAACGCCGAGGAATCCCTGGCACCCATCCTCCACAAAGAGCAAGTCTTCCCCCGTGCAGGGCGGCGAGGCTTTTGAGGACGCCTGCGCAGGCAATGGGTTCAGAATCTGATGCACTCTTAAGATCTATAGTTAGACTCCCAGTGTGGGCCACAGGCGAGATCAAATATGTCGTTTGCTTTGAGAGAAGGAGAGGGAAAGAGGGAAGGAGGAGTACCATCTTAATTTGCATAGTATTAAACTACTAAATATATGGACGAAATTAAAATCTAAATTTCGGGGCACTAAGTTCCAGCCCTGTTGCCAAGTACTACTATCTCGCCAAGTCCTAAGTGAGGAACTGCATGAAAACTGCAAGATAAGATCACATTACTGTAACTGCAAAAAATGCAAGAAAACTGCAAAAAAATGCAAAAAAAAAAACAGAAACTGGAAGAAAAAACTGCAAGAAAAGGCAAGGAAACTGAAAGGTTCTGCACGGTGTCCGCCCACAGTTTTCTGGCAGTTCCACGCACAGTTCCCGTCAAACCCTGTCAAAGCGTGGTAGCATTGTGGCAAACCTTTGCCAAAAGCAAGAATAACTGCAAGCGGTTTGCCACAATGCTACCACGCTTTGACAGGGTTTTTTCCGGGACCTGCGGTGCGGAAAAGCCAGCAAAACGACGACCATGACCTCCAGCGGTGCTTCCCATGACCTCAGCACCGTGACCTCCGAGATCCCAAGTCCCACTGCAAAAAAATCAGTAGGAAAGAAAACTGCAGTAAAACTACCAGAAGAAACGCAAGAAAACCTTCGTGTAGAAGCCGCTGTAGACAAACGTTGCTTTTAGAAGCCTTCCTGTAAATCGATGTTGCCTTGAAAAGCCTTTTGTGTGTAGGTCGATTTTGTATTGAAAAGCCTTCCTGTAAACCGACTTTGCTTCAAGATTGCCTGTCTATAAACAAATTTTGTTCTAAGAAACCTTCCCATAGGTAGACTAAAGCCTTCCTCTAGACCAATTCTGTCCTGAAAGCAAGCCTTCCTATAGACCAATGTGTGTTTTATGATTGCCTGTCTGCTGCTTTAAGAAATTGCAAGAAAACTGCAAGCAGAATTGCAGGAAATTTGCAACACGGATACGTCTACAGGAAGGCTTCTTAAAGCTAAATTGGTCTACCTACTGGCTGCTGGAAGGCTTCTAAAAGCAAAGTTGGTCTACAGGAAAGTTCCAAAGCAAAATTTCTCTGCAGACAGGCAGGTTGTTCCAAATTGGTCTACAGGACAGGAAGGCTTAAAAGAAAAACTTGCCAAAACCCTCACATGTTCAGAAGCCATTTCTGCAAGGTCTGCTTGCCGTTTTTTTTTCCAGAACTTCGAGGCTTTCAGGTCGATGTCCAGCTCAGCTCGCCGCGTCCCCCGGGCCCCACCTCTGCAAGGAGCCGATCGCACTCGTCCCAGCCAGCCATGGCGAGCGGCGGTCGGCACGGGCGGCCTCCCTGCGCCGGAGGCGCACCCCCGCCCCTGCCGTGGTTGGAAGAAAAGCAGCGGCAGCACCTGTTTCAGGCGGAGCTTTCCACGGTATTCACCACGAAATTTCAACAAATGGGTGCCTGAAACAGGAGAGGTGATGCCGCGAAGAAAGGGTTTAGGAGAGCCTTAAGAAACAGGTCTCAAAGAAGTCATCTTCCCTGAAAACTACAGTTCCGCTCTAAAACCGGCCTTTGGTGGAAGTTGGACATGTCGACAGGTCCAACAGCCATGGTTCGGACATCGTTCGAAACGCCTCGTTCGGTTTCTGCATGTCTTTCTTCACGTTGCCACGGATGACCCGTACGTCTTCTTTAGGACCTGATTCCGTACGCTGAGCCTGAGCGCCTGCGTGAGCCACGGGAGCACATGTTTAAAATGGTCTCCGCCACGGTCCTTGCTAGTCGGTCTTCCTACCTGAGTTGGGTTCAGGGCAAGGGCTGGTCAAGTGAGACTCACACGTGGCTTGCCTGAATTCACCAAGACAGAAATGAAGAGCCCCCTTGCCCTTCAAAGCTTCGTGTTTCTGCCCATGACTCAATGGCTCGCTGCACGACTCAATGGCTCGATTTGATCCTGCCAGATTGGCCATGTCTTCAAATCTTTGTCCCCACTTCACGATCAAGTTATGAACACGCCCTCTTTGTCCTGCGCGGCAGTGGAGTTGAGGCCACTTAGCTCACAGGAGCTGTCTGAGTGAGACACCGGATGTGTCTCTGGTCAGCTACAACTCAATCCATCGAAAACGTCAGATTTCTGGTGATCCAAAGCTAATCCCCACCTCACACCCTGTGCACACATCCACCTGCGCTTTCAAGCACCCATGAAAGCCACACACACCCGTTGGGAAAAACGGTGTGTCATGTAGACTTGGGTTCGACCGTGAACCGCCCGGGTCCGATCGTAAAACAGCCCTCGCTTCGGTCGCTTCGGTCGACAGCAGCTTTTGGGTTGGCCCGAAACAAACGGGTGTCCGTTTTTGAGGTCACCAGCAGCCGGTGAAGAGGGCGACTTTCTACCAGCAGTGGCCTGGTAGATTTATATCACCAGGCTTTTCAAATCACCAAAACAAACACCAAGAGGCACTTGGTGTAGGCCAACCCGGTACTGCAAGCCAGGTGACTGACCCACCTGAGATTGTAACATTGGCGCAAACAAAGCCGAAGCGGCTTGTCCAGCTGTGGATTTGGGATCCATGGCCTTCAACATGTGATGGATAGACACTTGGCATCAAAGAGAAGGGGACCTGAGTTCGCTCCCTCAAACGAGCTCCTGCATGGTGGAAAAACTTGCAACTCTGGTGCGACTCAATGAAGGCCAGGGAACAGGCAAGCGCCACTCGCGTACGCAGATCTGGGGAGGAAAATCAGAAGACCAGTCATGTAGGCTGTTGAGGAATAAAGCACCCGTCTCCAGAATGGTGGTTTACATCTCTATATAGTGGGATGTTGATGAACCAACAGTCTACAGTAGTGTGGCCCCAACTTCCAACTTCGTACTTCACGCCATCGGACGGCCAGGTGGGGGTGGCAGCCACCCTCCTGACTTTCAAGTGAGGGACTTGGGGAAAAACATCGAGGCACTTGGTGGTGACTCACAGGGCATCAATGTCCAATGCCAAGGGGGCGCCACCGGCAGAGGAGTGCCGTTCATTCCACCGGTCCGCGCCGGTCCGGACGCGCCGATGTGTTCTTCTCGAAGGAAGAAGAGTTTGAAACAAGAAAGCTGTGGCCCATTGTGATTGCAACAGGTTGAATGCAATTTGTGTCCTAGCCATAGTCTCTTTACTCACGTTAAATTTCTTCATTTGTCCTGCCAATATGTGGTGTTCTTTCATTTGGACCTGGCATGAAACTGTTTCAGTTTGATTTGATGGAACCAGATCTGCCCCGCGTACTATCAACATCAGACACAACACAGTGTCCAACCGCGCATGCGGCCGCACGCGAGCACGAAGAGATTTCGGTCCTGTCTCACCTGTGACATGGGTGTGCTCGATTGAAGAATGTAAAACTATTATTTTATCCCAGAAGCCCGAGAAGCCCTACCACACCACATGAAGGCCGACTTTCAAGATATATACTCACAAGGAGAACCCTTGAAAAACCCTTGAATACCGTGACCCGAAGGCGAAGCCAAAAATGGAGCAGCCCAGTCGGACCTGACTTGTGGATACCAAAGACGTTGGTGCTTGCTTCATCACCTCAACCATACAATCCAAGCATAAATTGGGTTGTTTGGTGTGACATTCACCAATCCCCACTCCCTTCAGGCCAGGAGGTCGGGTCGAACAGGAATTCATCTGATCCGCACCCAAATCCGTCAGGTCCATGATGTGTGCGGCTTTGATCTGAAGTGCTTTGGCACGAAAGTTGGGCATCGCTGCTAGTAACAAGTGCATGACTGGCACCCGAAATCATGCCCAGAACTGAACTCACCTTCGCGCCCAGCCCGACTGCGTCACTTTCCACATGCGCAGCATCAGTTCTGCAACTGCCTCGGTGTTTGCTGATTTCACTCGCTGCACTGCTGCATGGGCACCGCTTGATGACCCGACAATCGGCACATCTGAGTAGATACAGTAGATAACTGAAAAAGCTACAAAAGGTAGAGCATTTCCAAAAAGAGATCAAGGGATATCAAGGGTATCTGATATACCTTCTGAAACCATCGGGCTTGCTGTTGCCCAGCTTAGCTCCACTGCCACTCATTCTTTCCGAAACTCGGTTGAAACTTGGGCACAGCTTCACTGAAGCTGGTTAGAGACGCCCTGTTAAAGGTGTCTTTCGTCTGTGTCCCAGGGATCAGAGCCACAAAACAGGCGGACGCAGTCGCACCAACCTGGTGGGTCCGTACGAGAAAAGGGGGGCGATCGCCTCGCCGGCCCTTGAGTTGGTCGTCTTCGCCCAAGCTGCCGCTCCGGCGATGCAGGAACCCGGCCCCTTTTTCCAGACGTGCTGTCGGTCTGTTGGGTGGACAGGGTGCTCAAGCTGGATGCAGCGCAAGAAAGCAAGGCAAAGGGACACTACCCCTTCAGCATTGCTGCATCTCTTCTATGTACATGAGGTCTTGTTCTTGATCAGTGCTCCCAGCGAAATCTTTGTCGCAGGGGAAGGAAAATGTGGGCATGACTGACAGGAGCCGGCCACATACAGGAAAACTGATTCTTAAGAAAAAGGTGTCTTTGGACAAGGATGAGACTTGGTCCCTTTCGACAAGTCCACGACGCCCTTAGACTGCGATGCCGCCCTCAGCCGGATGTCTCGATTTGCGACCAACCTTCCCACCGGAGCCGGGTCGCCGTTTTCTCTTCGTTCCCTCCGGCATCCAACGACCGTTCGGATCTGGCCGGCGGAGCCGGGACCGGTCGAAGAAGCCGGAACACCGGTCCAAGTCGGCCTTCAGAAGCGTACGAAGTCACAGGCCTCCTCCTGTCGAGACCAGCGGAAGAAAGGAGGCTGTGGTGCCACGGCACCGGCCTGCCCCGCCCGTGGCCTCGAACGGTCCGGAGACGAACGAACGAGTCTGACCCAGTCTGACCGAGTCTGACCGAGACTCAGACCGAACGACCTGTGTGACCTGGACGCTTCTCATCTACCACCTGATCAGCGTTTCTCGTGGTCCACGTGAATCGGTAAAAGGGAAATCAATGGAAATCACTGAAATCACCTGATTGATCACTTCCTCCGGGAAATCTGCCCCCCACCTCCCCCACCTCGCCTCTCGCGGTCCGAGTTCGTCCCTATGTTGCCGCGTTCGGCCACTTGGGTTGGGCCTTTCTCCCCAAAAAACCTGTGGTTCACCTCACGCCGGTTCTTCCGAGACTCCAACCATCCCACTCCTGATCGTCGCTCGTGGGCATGGCCATCCGCACCGACGCGTCGATCGAGTCGGGTAGCCTTGGTGGAAGGGGTCGCGGGAGGGTCGTGGCGCAGCCACGAAGGCGCACGGAGTGGCGGCGCCATCCGCACCTCTCCAACGGTCCAAAAAGGATGTCGTACTATTCCTAAGGGCTTTTGTTCACAACACGGGAGGCACTTTGGAGAGTCCAAATGGTGTGTGGGAGATGTTGACACAGTATGTATGTAACGTCATGATGTAGTTCTTCGGAGCTGCTAACCTGGCCCAACCTGGCAACCTAAGATCAGCCACCAACATCCGCGTCTATCCGTGTCTGTCAGCGTCTCCCAAGGACTGCCATCGGTTGACAAGGACTGCCGTTGGAATCTGGGTTCTGATCGATCTGAGGGTCGGGCTTGGGGATGTGGGCCTTTCTGCTCATCCATTCGGGGAAAAAGGAAACCCAAAGACAGGATGTCACATAGCAAAGAGATGAGATCTAGAGTTCCATGGAAAGTGTTTCGCCTTGCCCCCTGTCTGTTCTACTTAGTCCAACAAGAGAATCACCATCCTGGAACATCACGTAAACGTCGCATGAGGCATGGGCACGTCCGTTCGTTCCCCGTGCTGGGCCCCGAACCCCCGTAGGCGTCCCAGTATCATAGTGGCCACCAGCAACATCTGGGATGCATCACCTCAAGTGATTCATGGCTTGAAAATGAGCCGGTTGGTTGTTCATCGCTGAGATCAGATCTCAACATGCTTCAACCAAAGCCCTACAGCGTCTTCAGTCTGAAGGTCGCCACTCCACACACCGCTGAAGGAGAAGGTCTGATTCCTGGCAGTTCGAAGCGAAAACGAGGAGCTGTTCAGCTCACTCCGCATCTCTGGGCCCTCGGCTCATAGCCCAGCGATAGGCCACAGGTGCCATAAGCGGACAAGATCTCAAAGAGCACCTGAACAAACGCGGCGCGCGCGCGCACCCAAAAGCAACGTTGTGAGAGTTGGATGCGAAATGGATGTTGGATTGGATGTGGTGTCCTGGAAGACTAGGGCCCAGGTCCCTTCTTGTCCAGGCTTGCGATATTTCGTCAGTTGCAGGTACCCCATGCCCAGTTTGATCGAGACTCAGGCAAGATGGATTTGTATCTGCCTCCTGTGGTGGGTTTGTCCCATGTGTGAGAGTGTGAGAAAGACCAATTTATCTCTATTGGATGCCGAATCCACCTCTTCGAATCAGGCTGGAAAGGAAAATATGCACAGCCTTTACACATCACAAGCTGGAAACCCTTTTCTTTCTAGAACCTCCTTTTCCTCGACGGGAGCCCAGCTGCCTCGCTACCATTTGTGTCCTCGCATCTTTTCTCGCCAAACGACGACCATCCTAACCTGCTCAGCACAGCACACTTCCCCCGCTCCCCGTGCTACGCACGCTTCCGCTGGTGCCAGGCCCAAAATCCACCGGCCACTGCGAGGGCGGCCACCACCACGCTCAGGACCAAGAAGCCGCCCGATGAGCCCGCGCCCACCTCGCCCCCGCCCCCCGCAGTGGGGCTGGCGGGTCGCGGTTTCGCCGGCGACGCTGGCGACGTCGCGGGCTTCGATGCCGGCGGCGGCTTCGGGGGTTGTGCTAAGCCTTCCATGATCTCAAGCTTCACCTTGAGCTCATCCAACTCAGCAGTGCCGGCCAAGCCAGGCGGTGCCCCGCCCATCTTGGCAGAATCAAGGACCTCTTTGATCATCTCTTCACCAAATCTCTGCTGCACCTTGAAGATGCTGGTCTCGAACTTCACCTGTGCCATGATCTTGTCTCGGGTCTCTTCCTCTGTGTCGAAGGAATTCGGTTCGTCCAGCCTCCTGTTGGGCAAAGCTTCGATGACCTCTCTGGCACACAAAAGCACCTTTTCCTCTTTGCTCAAGTGGTCCACTTTTTCTTCAACACTCTGCGCCATAGCTCCTTTGGTCATAAGGCAATAGCCTTCTCCTGCGAAACGCTCGGGCCTTTCCATCTTCATGTAGGGACAGCATAAGTGCATCCCATGTTCATCCACCTAGGTGCCAAAGCTGTGCCAACTCCCAGGGATGTTCACTCAAGATCACTCAAGGCACCCAGCAGTCAACGTCTGTTCTCATTGTGTTTGTCTTTCATTTCATTTCATGTGCGCGCAGAGCAGTCAAGCGTAGCGCCTGTGTTTGTCTTTAAAACAAAAACAACGGAACCCCCGCGTACCTTGGTGATGTAGGGCACGGGCGGTGCATCCGAAGGCATCCCCTCCATGGCCACTTGGATGTCCAGGTGCATTGGGTTCTGCATCGCGTCCACCCGATATCTGCCCTGGATCGACCGCCCCAGCACTTGCAAGCGCACCTGATGGCATCCGGTGCTTCACGGACCGGCGCCGCAGGACGGCGGGACACGGGGCGAAAGAACGACCAACATCATCCGCTTCGGGTAAGGGATCAAAAAAACAAATAAAAAGAATCAACAAAAAAATATTCAACGGGGATCAATAAAAAATAAAAAGGGAATCAAAAAAACATATTCTAGCCCACTGCCCCTCCTAGTAGGGAGCTATTTCTACTGGTGAACCATTTTTCGAGTAGGGCTACTCAATGACTGGACGGCAACCTTATCGTTGGGTACCTACTTTCTTCCCAGGGAGCTGCCTCTAGTAGAAAGCAATCAAGCCTCTATTTGCGCAAGCAGGGGACCAGGAGATCGACAGACGAGCGCCGTAGGAGAGCAAAAGACCAGCGGACCAGGAGACAGAGGGACTAGGATACCAGGGGACCAGCGGACCACAGGACCAGAGGACCTGGAGACCGGAGGACTAGGGGACCAGTGGACTGAAGGACCAAGGGACCAGGGGACCAAAGGACCAGTGGACCAGAGGACCAAGGGACCAAAGGACCAAGGGACCACATTACCAGAGGACCCGCAGACCACAAGGCCAAGAGAGCAGCAGAAGAGGCCTATCAAGGAATATGTATTTTTTGATTCGCTTTTTATTGTTTTTTTGATCCTGTTTTTTTTATGCTTTTTTTACTTTTTTTTTGATACCTATGCCATCCGCTTCAGCGGCTGGACAACGAGTCAAGGATGCCCTTTTTTCAGAAGAAAACATGGAAAGAATTATACCGGCATAGACCCCAGATAGCACTTCAAGAAAAGTTGGACACCATGGCAAGAGCGGGAGACAAGCTTGGGAGACATCCCACTCAAAGCCGGGAAAAGGATGGAAAAGGTAAACAAGACCTAAATCATCTCATAACAGCATCCGCGTCAAAGAGCGAAATCATGAAGGGAGACAAGCTTGGGAGACAAGCTGGCAGCGGCAGCCAAAAGCGAAATCATGCGAAATCATGAAGAGCTCCGGAGACAAGCTTGGAGACAAGGCGACAGCGGCAGCCAAGAGCGAAATCATGAAGGGAGACAAGCTTGGGAGACAAGCCGGCAGCGGCAGCAAGGGAGACAAGCTTGGGAAACAAGGCGGCAGCGGCAGCCAATTTCCGCAATCCGGAACCCATCCATTGAGAAGTAAGAACCCCTATAGCTTCCAGCTATCTGGGGACAAAACAAAGGTCCTGTGAGTCTATGAAGGCACTTGCTCACTTGCTCGGTCTCCTTCGGTGTCACGGATCATTTCGTCTAGAGTCTAGAGGGTGTTCATTCATCCAGAAACCGCCCGTTGGATCCAATTTTGAAGCCACTTCAAGAACCCAGGTGACATGCTAGCATCTACCAGCTTCTTCCAAGTGACCTTTTTGGAATCCCTAGGTGACCTATTATACAGGCCTAAGTGACCTCAGACCAGGGGATCAAAAGGTCACTTAGAAGAACCAGGTATATACTGTATACCTTTGAAGTTCATCCCCAGGGAGGACCACCGAATCACGACCTCCAACCATTCCTAAACCGCGGCACACTCTGTGGCCCAGAAACCGTGACCCTCAGTGGAAAGAACATGGCCTCCATGGCCTCTTGGCTTTTAGGGGAGAAAACCCCTGTCTCCTTTCGAAACATCAGGTGGTGAGCTTCTCCACATCTCCACGTCTCAGGTCGTTGAGTCCACGTCCAGTCCACGACTTCCTCCATGCGCAATGTCTAGGCACTTGGTAGTGGTCCAGAAACTCCATCTCTTGGTCGTATCCTCCTAAGGCTTCAGTGACCTTGCCATGCCAGCAGCCCTGCAACTGTGCCGTGAGCTGGCGGTTCTTCACCTGCCGGAGAGACAGGCGGTTTCGATATCCAAAACGGGGAGACCGACCCGGTGAGTGCCTCCAAACGACGGCCTTTGGCCCAAGGATCGAGGCGACATGAACCATGAGGTCGAATGGGAAGGTCCATGAGGTTTCGTGAACCATGAGCCACATGAGCCGTTGCAAATCAATGGCTCAAAAGCGAATCACGAAGCTGATTTCCTAGCAATTGCTACCGGGGTATACCGGGGCATTCACAAGTGCCCCAAAAGAGTCGAAGTCGTCCCCATCGAAGGCTCCGTGGCACAGCTGGCAGGCCTCTGCCAAGGTCTTTCTCAAGGAATCAGCATCATCCTTCGCGCACTTGGCAATGCCCCTCTCACAGATTGCGACAGCCTCATCCCAGCGCTCCAACTCCTGCAGCGCCGCAGCTTGCCTGGAATATCCTGATGGACAGAGTTGAGACGGCCAAATGTATAAGGGTCTTTCCGCAAATAGGGCAGGCGGCAATGCGTTTCGGAGGTATGTTTCGGGGTATGTTGCAAGGTATGTTTCGGAGGTACGCTCCGCAAATCCACAAGCAACATCTCATTTGTAGCCAGGTATGCTTCGAGGGTATGATTCGGGGGTATGATTCGACCTATGTTTCGACCTGTTTCGGATGATGTTGAACATGCGTCCCATCTAAAGTGTTTAGCACTGCATTTATGGAATAATCTAGTTTAACAATAGAGAATTACACATTATACACATCTGTGTCTGCTCTTGCATCCAAACATGTCATCCGTATCTAGCAGCACCAAATACATCCAAATACCTACTTTCTTGAAAACGCCCCAAGAAAACCGCGTTGAAGTGTGCCTTTCAACACCCCCACCACATAGGAAAAAGCACCCCACCAGGCCCCCCACCGGGCTCCCACCACTCTCTCGCTCCCGCCGAAAGGGCCGCCTTTGGGGAAGTCCGAGGCCAGTCGAAGGCATCGCTCCGCATCCGCCAGGGCCTCCTGCGCGTCGCCCAGCTTCAAGTGCGCCGCGCTCCGATTGCTGTAGCCTCGCCCAGAGCCGGGCCGGAGCCGGTCGCGGTGGAGACCCAGTCGAGAGAGAGCGAGAGAGAGACAGAGAGAGAGAGAGAGACAGAGACAGAGACAGAGAGAGAGAGAGAGAAGAGACAGAGACAAACAGACAGAGAGACAGAGAGAAGAGAGACAGAGAGAGAGGGGACCCGCTCTGGAGAACAACGCGGTCGGTGGCTCGGTAGATGGGGGAAGAGAGAGGCGTTCCGAAGCTCAGGGCCTGTAGGACTATGTAGGACTAGGGGTGTTACAATGATGTGAGGCCCTTGAAGACGCTCGAATGCTCAACCAATCCAAGCGACACAAGTGCTGTTCGGGGTCAAGCGCCAGCGATTCTGTATAAGCTTTCACAGCGCCAGCAAAGTCGCCTCCGCGACACCGGAAGCGACGTTGCGCACGTCAGGGTCAACCACCTCTTTGCAGAAAAGTCAGGCGGGGGGGGGCATAACGCCTTAACTGTGTCCCCAGTCTCAATCGAGCTGGTCGTAGCACAAAATTGGGTGGAGATCGAAATGCACTCCAGAATCCAGAAAAGACCTGGAAGTCCTTGCTTTCAGTCCAAACCTAATCCGCTCCCATCGGCATCCCATCGGCATCCCATCCGCACCTTGTTTAAATTTTGAATTCCCCTCCTCCTTCAACGCAGCGGCGCTCATGGCACGCCGCTCTTTTTTGCGGGGGTCTGTTGGTGTTGCTTCTCCGAGAACGCCGCTCTTCGCCTTTTGGAGAGGAATCTCCACAATAGCCCTTGTTCGAAAGTAATTAGCTACAAAAAGAACCATCTTCTTATGCATGGTGGTCACATGTTGGACTTGCTGATGGTGCTTCGGTTCCACCTGCTAAACCTTGAGGGTCAAGTTCCCTCGCCCTATGAGCCGCGGCTGGCAGGATTCACCATTCCTCAGAGCACCGCCTTGGATGGGATGCTCACCAAGACCCACCGTCTCAGTGGGCGAGAGATCGATGGCCGGATCGCGGGTCCTACTTGAGGGGGTCCAATGTATTGCAATACGGGTCATGTCTACATCAATAGCATCCAACTAAACCCAGATTCGATGAATCATTTGCAAACTCCATGGCAAGAGTGGCATCACTGCAGGTGGTTCTGGTTGAACTTCTGCTCGTTGAGACTCGACACAGGGCAAACTTGCCAGACCGACTAGGCAGACCGACCGTGCGTGCGTCGAAGGGAGAGAAGTGTATCCTGCGTGGCTATGGATCATGGCACCCCAGACAAAGAGCTCCTGATCCATATGAGAAAAGAAAAAAGAAACATTTCGGTCACAACCACCAAACTTGCGAAACACGTCGACCAGTCAAGCAAAGCGAACCAAAATGTTTACAAAAGAAAGATAAACCAACATCAATCAGCATTGGATGCTTTTGTTCACATAGAACATGGATGAACATGAACACATCATACACTTCCCACTTCCTGGATGCCTCTGGTGTGCATCACCTCTGAACCCTCACACCGGCCACAACGGCCCCACCACTGAAAAAGGCGCCTTAAAGAAGCCGAAGTCCGTGTAGATGCCGTCGCTGTCCGGCGAGGGGTGCTTGGCGGCCCTCGCCGGCGGAGCTTCAGATCCGGCCGGGACGACTCATTGGAAGTTCCCCGTTGGCCGGGGGGGGTCCCGATTCGAGGGTTCCCGATGCTCAAAGTCGAAAATCGTTCATGATACTTCACCCCCCCCAAATCCTCAGGCAGAACTCTGGTCCATTCACCGACCAAGGGGGGGGAGTCTACACGGTTGTTCGATTCTTAGAGTCCACACGGGGCCAGCAGGATGGATCACGATGGGTCACAGGGAAAAGACGGGAGGTCGCTGGTTTCTACAAACGCGTGCAGTGTGTGTCCCTTTGTCTGGCCCGGGCCCAGATTCAAGCCAATCAAGTGGCATCAAAGTGGAGTTTTTGAGGAAATGATTCTATCTGTTTGGGGATAGTCTATACTCACGGTTTCTGTTCAACTTCCGTTTCAATGCGAACAAACAAGTATGCCGAGCCTGCCGCAACAGGAATAGCACAGCTCCCGGCTCCCCCCCCCACCGTGTTGACGCAACAAGAGGCACCTGGCGAAACTCTCCTTCTCAAGACAGCAAATGAGGAAGCAAATCACCTGGAGCTGTTTGTTCGGCCATGTGTTGGTTCGGCATATCAAACGGGTCTCAGTGTCAGTCTCGGTCGCATCGCCGTCTCGCCAAGCCACCAAGAGGTATGTGGCGTCCTGCGTGAGGTATCTTCTGGCCTCCAAAAGGAATTTGCTCATCGTCTTGGCCCCAGTGTGAACTTCGCCAAGGACGAGGCCATCTACTTAGTGAAGGAGAACGGCCCCAGTCTACAGGAGACGAATGGCAAATCTCCCGACCCCAAGGGCCAAACCTCTCCAAAACAAAAAATTACAAATAAAACGGGTGCGGATTGTAAAAGGGGAACGGATCTGATCAATTTTCCAAACCTTCCAGGGAAGTCGGGACACCTGGCAGGTCTGCCCGGCAGTTAAAAAATCCACACCCTAAATAAACCAAGAGAACGCCGCGGCAAAGGACTTCTCCGCCTGTCCCTTCAAGGAGTTCTCTGCCGTGATAACCGCCTCTTCGACCCCCTCCACGCGCCCTGTGATGTCCAACTCGTGCCTAAGCGCCGCAAAAACGAAGGAGGCACGTCCGTTGTTCGAAGCAAGTTCTGGGAACTGAAAGAAGGCGTCGAACAGCCTGTGCGAAGCGAAGAGAAAAGTGAAAAAGGTCCGCGGGGTCAGCCTGTGTTGCTCAGAATTTGGAGCCTTTTTGGAATTGGTTGAGTAAGAGGTTGCTGGATGGACCCGACCAAAAACCGGCCGAGTTCCAGCCGGTTCTGGCGAGAACGAAAAAACAAAAACGAAAAACCGCAGACATGTTCAGCCTAAACGTGTTCAGCCTGAGGCATGCATTAACACACCAGGGTGGCTTGTTCAAACACTAAAGCCTTTATCGTGGTTAGGAGGGAGGAGCCTGAGGAGCCCTCAATTCTCTTGAATCTTATGGTTTGCAGGTTTGCAAGATGTTTTGGCCCAAGGATCCACCAGAAACTCGCAAGAAATTGCATTGTTTGGATTATGTCTTTGTTTGGGAGTTCCAGTCAAGTGCGTTTTGCGTGCACTGCGCGATGACGCACGGCATATTTTCACGGTGCATCTCTACATGGTGCAATGGACCGGTGGCTACCACAAGTCCACTTCCAGTCCCAAAACTGTTTCGAAGACAAGGTTCTCTTGTGAGTTCCTAGACCCTCCCTCCACCCTAGAGAGGATATTTTCCACAAGGTACAGTAGCGTCGTCTGTCAACTTGTTGTCAACATCTTCTAAGCTACACTTGGTCCGCCCTCTTCCATCCTCCTCTGACTATGTCGCAGGCCCTCACGCTCAACCATCTCTGTTTGTTCGCGGGAATCTTCGTGGGCCAGCACGCATGCGAGACTCGTCAGGTTACCTTATCGCGTGCTCCGCTCCGCTTCTCCAGGGCCTTCTTTACCTCACACCCTATAGGCCTCCATCTCCATCTCCCAGTCCATGTTCTACTTTATCACCCCGGCCGCCACGTCCAGCCCCACTTGCCATGCGCGGCCAACACACACCGCGATACTCTAAAAACAGACTGGTGGGTGGAGATGGGCTCCAAAATGGCATTCCATGCCCACCTCCACCCAGAACACTTCGATCCCGTGTCTGTCAAAAGTTCTTTTGCTCAAAAAATAAAGTCTCTTTGCCCGCTTGAAACTGAGAGCTGCTTCGCCCCAAATCCTTTCCCTGCTTTGCCCGCTTGAAACTTGGGGGGCGCCTGCTCGGGCGTCGCCCACTGAGATCCCCCGACGCATCAGCCGACAGGCGCATGGTGACCACCTCACAGCCAAACGTGGGTGTGCGTGCATTTGAATGGGGATTGACCAAGAACCTCGCTGGGATCTGGGTTTCCTGGGGAACTCCTTTCGAGGTTCCCCAAAATGTCCGGAGACTGGTTGAAGGGAGACTGGCCCTGGCTGGGTAGACTGGTGGAGGTCTCCCACCTAGAGTCCTTTCGGTGGAGGCAAAACGAGTAACGATTCGGTTCCCCGGCAGCATGGATCGGGTCCGGCCAATGCAGCAGAGGACAAAAACAAACCCTATGTGCTGCTGCCTAAGACCTGAAGGCACCTAAGAATTGCACATGCAACAAAAAGAATGGGCCACAGCAACACAAACAGAATGGCACCTAAGATTTTTGGATCTGTGGCCCATGCCGCCCAATTGTCATTTGTATCAATGTTTGGATCAAGGCCCTCCAACCTTAAAAGGAAACTGAGAAATAAAGTCGGACCAATCAGATGTTGTATCCCTCCGGCACCTTCAACTTCGCTCCTCTGCGTGTATTTTATAACAGAAAACCAAAAGACTTCTCATTTGCGTGGAAGAATTTCCACACTCCCAACTCCCAGTGGGCCAATCTCAAGAAGGAGAGATCCACACCCCTCAGTCCTAAAGAAACTGCTCGAAACCCACCAGAGCCCAAAAGAAGAAACTCGGATGCAGCTGAGTGCCGTCGGTGTGGTGGAAAAGTACATCCTGGCGGAGAAGTGTGCACTGGTTTTTTTTGCCCTCAAGGAGCCCTATTCTTGGCCACTGCATCAGCTTGGGCTTTTTGGGATGTGCTTCGCAGCTGCTTCGCAGCATCGGATCAGAGATCTCGCGAAGGAAGGTCCACGTATTTCAGCGGTATTTCGCTACAGCTCCAGAATGTGGGCCCTGATGAGCCCCCTTTTTGTCATGGGCTTTCTGAAGGAGAGCAAACTCCTAACAATATGTTTATGGACGATATATATATATATACATATATATATGTATATATATATATGTATATATAGTACAGCAAAACTGGCCCCTGGGAACCATGGCACCCTTCCTTTTGGTATGTGCCACCTAAAAGAGCTTCCAGAAGTGGACTCAGCGGACAAGCCGAAGCCCAAAAGACGTGTCAAAACTGAACAATCAACGGCACAAAACAAACCTGAAAAACCATGCCGCGATGTCAGAACAAAACCCCCAACCCCCAAGAGGGCGGTACATGCCAGCTTCACATCACCGCCATGAAGAAGGTTGTGCCCTGCGAGAGCCTTGGAACACGAGGAGAGTCAAGGAGAAAATGACCAAGGTCACCAGGTGCAGATTCTGATGCCAAAACTTTCACAAAGGAGTCCTCGGTGAATTCGTTGGCAGGTCTTCAAAAACCTGCCTTTTTGGACGAGGGCATCAGCTATTGTGGAAAGGAACACACTGAAATTGCCGATGCCCTCGGCAAGGGAAAGGTTCGCGAAGGCTGAATCCAACGAATTCATGTGTGAAGAGAAGTCATGTACCCTTTGAATGTCACAGCCACGAAGACAGGCAGATCGAACCAGGAAGGAAGCACCCAATGTCGACATCAACCTTGGCCAACACTCTCTTCTAAGAGTGAAGATTTGCTCTTCCCGCACTTCAAGAGAACGTCTTCTTGTTCTCCTCTCCACGGCCGGAGCGTCCGACGAACCCAACGAAGCATCGAACCATCGGATCAGGTCCTCGCGTCACCACAAATGGTGAGCCCAACGATCCACCATCGCTGCATGTGGTTCAGGGTCGGTCAATCCTTCAACGGTACTCGTCGCACCTGGTTTGTTAGCTGCTAGCGTGGGTTTGGGGCTCCAAAAAGAGGTCCAGCGTACCGGGACCTACAGCTTCCCTGCAAGAAGGGAACCCAGAATTTGACCCTACGTGGACTCCGCATGCCTGGCTGCCGCCAGGTTCGTCCTCTTCCGGGTGCCCGGAGGAGTCACTTCGTCCATCTCAGAAGCCCGATCTGACGTGTTGCTAGTACTTCCTCCAGCTTGAATCACCGGAGAGTGGTTCCCCACTCGAGTTCGGCGAATGACTCGAGTTCCGCATTAGACCTGCGGTTTGTAGAGAAAAAAGATGAAAAAAAGAACCCCCAAAACCAAAAAGAAGAACATCCCACCAGTTCCGAACATCGAAACCTGCACAGCCAAGCTGCTGGGCAATATTGATCGAGTTCATCCCTGGCGGAGTGGCCACCGGTCCCGGCACCGGTGGAGGGCCGATGTGCCACCAAAAAAAAAGGAGAGAAAAGAACGGAAGGTCTGGGAAGGTCGGCCGGCCTTGTTCTTTTTGTAGTTTGTCTCTTGCCATTCCGGTAGTTTGTTACTTTGTTCATATTCGGTTACTTTTTCGGTATTCCTTCATCTCTGAAAGCCCTCAGCTAGTATGCCAAGTAAGCCAAGTAAGCGAGTCCCAAGCCAATCTCATACGGTGGGCAGAGGTGACGCAAAGGTACCCAACTACTTAGTCTGTAAAGTAAAACCTCTGTGTGTGTGTAGATGTCTGTGTAACCCTTGGAGTCATAGGGATTCCGTCGAGTATGTTTTCCTAGGGGACCAGGCAGGGTACATTGTCGCCTGGTCAACGAAGCTGGCAATGTACTGTCCCACTTTCACGTACTTACAGAGTTGTGGTGTTTACAAGCTGTCACTCCACTGTCCACTAAAGGACTAAAGGGCTAACGCATTTGCAGACTTGAGCGCATTGCCGGTCACTTTGTCGGTCACGCATTGCCGGAGCTGGACTTTGAGACTTTGAACACTTTTGGCCTCCTTCCTTTCCAAGACCTCGACGTTTAGACCCCCGTACATGCTTTGTCAGGAATATGGGTACCTAGCTTGGCGAGCGGCAAACCGCAATCGAGGCAGTACGCATTTCATAAGTGCGTGTTTTCCCACTGCGCGCCACTTCTCCCCTCCGCGCCTGCCGTGCGCGTGGAGACGGTCTGAAACCTGGCGGCGGTGGGTCTCCGGTGGGTCAGACCGGTGCGGTCAGACCGGTGCCCTGAAGCTGAGACCGAGGACTCTGGTCCAAAGAGTAGAACATGCAAGGAGGCACGTCTAGTGACCTAGTGACGTGCAGCGTCCCCCCCAAAAAAAAAGAGAACGGACCTTGCTTTACTCTTTGATGATCCCAAGAACCTTAAGAACCTTGATCTCGCGTCCGCCTTCCGTCTTTCTACCAGGCGGATCAAATCCACCGCCCACACTTCGTCTCTTCGTCGGACGGACTGGGGCTCGGGGCAAGGCGTTGCCCATCTTCCCCCCCGCATGGAGGTGATTGAAGGCCGGGCTATGCCAGTCCTCCCAAAAGCTCCCATTCGGGAGATTCCAGCTTACCAACCCGCAGAAAAGGCAGGCGCCGCCTCCTTTTCAAGGCGTGAAAAGTGCAAAAAAATAAACACATAAATAAATAAATTCACATGAACAGTAAAACAAAAAAACGAAAGTGCAGGTTACGAGCTGGCCCCACCATCTGAGATGGGTGTTCGTCATGTTTTATGAAATGAATGTTCAGGCTCAATCCAATCTCCATTTTCTTGAAAGGCCTTTTGGAACAGGTCAGTCGGCTCCAAAGCCTCAACCCTCTTGTCTCAACCTTCTATTCATCCATATCACGGAAACCCACACGCCCTTTTCCCGACAGAGGAGCCGCAGCTCACGCAGCTCCTGGACGAGGGTCACAATGGTGCCCAGGACATTCAAGGCAATGACCACCAACAAGAGCCACAAAGTGTGCACGGCTGGGAACATGTGCCTTGCTGTCACGCCCGAATGTCATGCCCTTGCTGAACCTCCACGCTGTTGGTTCATGTTTGTTCTATGTTTCCGGTGTTTTCGCTGGCTCACACCAAACCCAGCCAATCGTTGGGATGATTTGAGGAAAGAAGTCTTTGGTGCTTTAGTGTGAGCCAGACCCATGCAACTTAATATTTCCCAATACATCTTGGTCTTCTGTTGACCCTATCTTCTTGTCTAGAATCGACTGAACTTTAGCTAAAGGTCACCTAAGTCTAGGGCAGCATGAAACTCTCGAAAAAGCCTGAGGGCTGCACGTGAAACATCTTCTTGGATGCTCCAACAAAAAGTCCAACACCCGCTTGTTCTCCGGTTGAGGCCTTACCGTGTACGGGAACGCGAGAGGACGATTCCTGGCAGGTGAGGTCACACATCCATTAGTACCGCACCATACACAAACACACCCAATGCAGGGTAGTCAAGGTATAAAATCCCAGAACTGCAATGGAAAATCAAGAAAACGTTTATCTTCAACTGCCTTCAACTTCCTTTGTAGTGAACTTCTGGAGGCCACCAATCCAGTGCTTTGTGCCACCTCTCCCGCACCAAGGGAAAAACCGCAGTGCTGCTAAAACACGGCATCCATCGTCGCCAGATGGTGGCAATCCAGCGCACCTGGCAGCGCGACACTCCCGCGCGTGTTCGGACGTGGAAGGCACCCCCGTGGCTCGGTATGAGCGCTCTTCCCAGGGCCTAGGCCATCCACTTCCAGGTCAGTTGGTCGGAGGGTACCGTCGCTCGCTCCAGAGCATTCCGGGGTCACTACGGTCACCACATACAGCTTCACTCCGATTTGGGGTTGGAACACTACTTTGACTCTCTGTTCGATGTAAAACGCCTGTGTGAGACCTGTCAGACTCCACTGCACGTGTTTCTCGAATCTCGAGCTTGCCAACCATGAACCAACGAAAGAGATTCACCCTCCATGGCCCATCTGCACCGACCAACAGCCAAAACAGCTTTGACCCCAGATCTCGGCCAAGCGCGCACCATGATCGGCAGACCAGTGTTGCCCAGCAAAATGAGCATCTCAGCGTCGAGCCGACGAGCTGGGGAAAGAAGGTGACGAAAAACAACGGATCTCAAAGAAAAAGTGCGAAGCCAGGCCAAGTACACGGCAAAAAGCCAAGTGTCACAAGAGTTCGACTGCGGCAAAGTACAAGCTCCTAAGCAAACTCGGCAAAGAAAGAATGTCCATCTTCTACACTCCCTGAAGGAATCATGGCCCCTTGGATTGACCATCTTCGCTCTCGGGGCCCGGGCCCCCACAGTGCTCAAGAGGAGAGGGCTATCAACATAGTCCTAGTCCGATGGCATGGCACTTGCCAAGAAAATTGGGTAGGTCGTGCATTGAGGAATCACTAGAAGATCATTGAGTTGCAAGAAGACCTTTCACCTGCTAAAAACAAAACTAGAAACCGAAACCAATCTATATGAAAGATCCAAAAATCCCCGTAACAAACTGCGAAGTGATCTGAACGCCTAGGTGAAATCAGTATCGTGGATTTTTGACGAATCAACCACGCCGGAGAAAAATCATCACGATTTTGATCATGAGCGATGACACAGGGGGGATTCTTTCACCTGTGGCTCCCAGCAAATCCCCAGCAAATCGGTCAGCAGCGCAAGCGGCGCAAGCAATCAAGACAGCATTGTATTGCCATTTGGCAATACTCTCCCAACTAACAATTGAAGTGGAGTGAAAACCCCCTGTTTGGTATTCAGAATCGCTGGTCTTCCTGAAACTGCCGTCAAACTGCCGTCCACGTAACCATGATTATTTCAGGGAGGATAATTCATTGACAAAAGTCTAGCTGCTGGGCTAGACCAAATGGAAAGCTGTCCATTTTTTCTGCACCCTGAGGGTCCCCACATCGCATAGGAAGTGGATTGGTTGATGCTTCCTTGCTGTCTACGCCCTTTCCTTTTTCGAACCGGTTCCTTTTTTTCCACTTCCATGCTAATGAGTCCACCACATGCCACAGAAAGCCCTTTCAACCTTGAACAATCTCAGCCCCCACCGTGGCACCGGTGAACCCGATGGGGGTCGAAAGAAAGGAAGTAGGACCGCCTCAGTCCTTCTTCCTTGGCAAAAAGAAGCCGTCGATCCATTCTTTACACGATCCTTCGGAACATCTCTCGTCTCCCTGCATCCAGGAATCCAGGAACCCCCCACAGGGTACCAGGTGTTTTTGGGAGGTCTTTGCAGGACACCCCCTCGGACACGGTAGGTACCTTTCAGAATCGGCCAATCTTGGAAGCCCGAAAGCCAACCCAGCCATAACCGCTGGCGCACCATCACGGAAGAGGGCGTCAGGACCTTGATCGGGACAGCTTCGAAGGCTGGGAAGATGTGGCTGTGGGTCATGGCACCAGGATACCTTGGTTGACCTACGAGACTTGCGGACGTCCGAGGCGCTTCCCGTTTGCCCTTCACCGGGCCAGGTGGGTGCCGGGGAAGGTCAACCTATCAGAGACTGGTGGGTGTTCCGGGTTTTGATCCATCCCCATGTGGGTGTCTTTTGGAATTGGGAGACCTCCCACGTGCGGAAAAGGAGACCATTCTACGCAGAGGCTGAGCCAGTCTCCCTTCAGCCGAACCGGAAATTCTGGGAACCTCGAAAGGAGTATTCCGCCCAGATCCAGCAAGGTTCTTGATCAATGCCTGACCTTGGCGGAAGTGTCTTGAGGAATTGGGTCAACGAACTCTACTCTACTTTCTTCATCTGGCACACCAACTGAAACTCTCAGGAACCTGGACCAAACTCAGCTGCCATCGTCAGTGTGGAGGCCTCTCTTCCCATCTTTACCCCCTTTTTCCCTGCTAGCGTCCTTGAGGACCTCCACAAGGACAACCCAACGAGCCACTCGTGCCCCCGGGCTAAGCCATTGTTTTGGAACGAGGACACCGTAAGGTACAGCGCCTCGTTGGTTCGTTGCACGGTGGACGCCGGTGATCCGAAAGGGTGATGTTCGGCGGCACAGCGTTCCGAGGGACCTGAAGCGGAACCGGGCTTCTTGGACCGAACAAAGACCTCTTCTTCAACACGGGGGTTGGCTTGCATCCCACTATGTGGACCAGCAGGATTCGTGGCGCACCATTGTGCCCAATGGAGGGTACCAAGAGCTAAGCACATGCAACAGAGTCATTCCACAGAGCTGCGCCAAACTTCACATCAGCAAACTCTGGGGCCGCAGAGAAAATGAACTCATGACTCATGATGGCAAGAAAGCATACACATGGCCACGACTCCACAACTTGAACCCCCAAACAAAGCCCCCAACAGCAAACAAGCGTCGTTCCAAGCAGTACTTCCAGGGCTTCACTTGTTAAAGTTTGCGTCATCTGAACAGCCCCCGCAGCCATCCTCTCTCTTCTCCCAGCACAGTCTGCAGTCAAGGGAACATGTGGAAAGGGCCGCAAGCCTTCCTCCTGGAACTTTTCCTGGCAACATCACTGGATGCAAGAAACAAATATGAACAATGAACAAGGGAAGTATCCTTTTCAACATCACTCCATCTTCTTACCCAACAGCCCTCAGAACAACCGCCGGTCCGCCCGGTCCGCCCAGTCCTCCCGGTCCGTTCGGACCGCTCCTGCAAAGGGCCTTTGCAGCGGAAGAAGCAGAAGAGGATCAGCACTCCCAGCAAATGCGTCCCCAGCCTAAGCAAAGGTGTCCTTTTCGGCGAAGTGAAGATCCCCAGGCCAATAGATTCTATATGTGTGAACACAAGATCCAGGTATCCTCCAGGCCAATGCAATGAGCACTTTGGATCCAATTCTCGATCGACTTCAGGAATACACCCCTGCGGTTTAAATACTCATGGAAGGTAAAAAAATGGTATGACCGTTTTCCTCTACCTCTTCGCAGTTTTCGCACAGATTGTAACCGCTCAAGAAAAAGAAAATAGGTTATCTATATTGAATTCGAGACAAGCTTGTGGCATAAGTAAATCGGGTGGCCATTCACACCGGTCAAGTAGGGAGTCAAGAGACTTCCTTTTGGGAACGCGTGACTCTTACAATTGTTGGAATACAAGTCCTGCACTCGCAATTCCGAAGAACGCTGACGAACTGTTCGTCGGAGACCACGGTCGACATGAAAGAGTGAAGAATCTGGCGAACCTCTTTTCCTGATGTGGAAAAGGTATAGGGCGTCGTCGAGAAACACCAGCAATACATGGTCCTCTGAAATCCAGTGTAGCAAGCGCATCAGCCGTGCTAGTGTGGGACCCATCGTTTGGACGGCAGCGCATGATCCCCCCAAACTGACTGCCGAGGCTCCAGTAGCCTGCCATGATCTTCAAGACCTTCGCTAAGGCCTACCAAGCCCGACAATCTCTGAAGTGGAAAAGAGAAAAGACACGTTGGATTAGTTCACTCATGGTGTTGTGAATACATTGAATACATGTGCTCAAACCTGGTGCAGGTCTACATTTCTACAACAAAGGGGCCAGTTACTAGTTTAACATCACTACTGCAAAAGACTGGTCTTTCCTTCTACACCAGCAGATGTGTTGCGCCTTGTATTCCAAACGATGCGATCTCTCCAGTGCACGGCTGGTGCAGCCTTTCTTCCTCAACGTTTGCCCGGCCCCGCATGGACGGAAAGTCGGCAGTGACAGTCACGGCCCCGGTGCTTGCGACACAGTAACACTCTTCGCTTCTGGGAAAATCATCTAGCTTGCTTTGGGAAACACATTGTTCTTTTGTGGCCACACTTGACCTTTGGCCACACTGGCACCCAATCAATTGCTTTTCCAAGAAGCCCTTGACCTTTGATGATCCACAAAGCAAGCACGACACCTGCCAATCGCACGGCTAGCCAGTCTCAGGCCAAGGCTTCTTAGCCTTGTCTTTCGCTTCTTCCTGTGCAAGTGACGAGGTTGCACACATGAAAATGTGTTAAAATGTCCACCCCATTGAACCCACCAAAACCAACTACAGTGGAGGGCTCGCTCCGACTCTCGCTTGTCTTCGACGAAGCGGCAACAAAACAGCCGAATCCAGGCCTCCGCTGAAGCTTGATGTGGCATCTTAGTTGCGCAAGCGACTCGACCAGCGACATGCGACTCGACCAGCAAAACCGGGCTGGGCTCCGGCGCCCTTTTGACGGAACTCCGGCTCCGGCTCCGACTAGGAAAAAAGGAAAACTGATGGACGGAACTCTCTTGCATTGGATCTAGCCATTTCAACAGAAGCAGTTGCAGAATAACAGGGACCTTGGTTCTGCACTTCAAAGCACTGAGTTGATGGTCTTTGTTCACAGTACTAAGGAGCTCTCCAGGGATCCAGGTCTATTTAGACTGGATCGGTTGCCTGTCAAAAGTCTTGTGGAGGTACAGACTCGTTGACTTGATGGACATCGCGTGACATCGGCGTTTCGTGTCTGCCGGGCCCCCGTAAGGGTCCGACCCCTCAAACGCTCGTTCTCCGCTGACCGCAGTTCGAAGCAGTTCGGGCTCTCACTCTTCCTGGGGACACCCGACATGCCACCGCTGGGCAGACTCAGAGTGCCCATCGTGGTTGTGGTGGTGCACATAGAGCTCCTCAGCACTCAACGGAAGCGGATGGGGAGAGACATCCAGCCTATTTGGGAAGACGTTCGAAAACAAAGCTGTTGCAAGTTGACCATCCAACTTAAGCTGGTCAAGCAAAGTGGTCCGGAAACACATGCCTAGCCCTGCCCAATGCAGAAGCGTCACGAAACCTCATGGCCACTGGGCGCCAAGCACTCCCTTCCCCTCCCAGGCCCCTCCCGGCTCCGCAACCCCAAACCTGAAATGAAAACTGGCTCTTTGCTGGTCCCATCTCAAATTCGTCAAACAGTCCCAAAACCATAGACTAGCTTTTTTCAAATCATCAGTGCCAACTTAGTGCAAAAAAGAAACAGCAGGAATAGGATGAGCACTGGACAAACTCTATTGTTTGCGTCGCCCCCCGACTGGTTCGTGAAGAAGGTCAAAGGGGCTCAGGGACCAACCATAACGAAGCTAGGGATCCCTCCACTCAATGTGATGCCGTGAAAAATATTCACAAAAGAAAACTGCTCTTCCCCCGGTTAGCTCAACTGGACCTCCGGACTCCTCGGTTCCCACTCGACTCCGAACAGGTCGGGCTCCCCCGCCGGTACTCCCGGATCCGACATGAAGCGGCGACTGGGCGGGGCGACCAGATACGCGTGGGCGCGGCGGGGCAAACGGAAAGCGCCACAATCCAACATCGCCGAGCAGGTGGGCAGGTGTGGGCCACCGTGCTTCTTCCGCGGTGTGAAACTGCTTCCAATCGCGCCCGGATAGCGCTTCTCCAAGCATAGGTAGGGAGACCGGTGGTCTTTCTTCCCCAGAGACGTGTTGATCCAACGGGCCACCGTTTCTTCCGTGCCACGGGTCAGACCCAAGTCGGGTCCCAGACGCGAGCCTTCGTGGGGTAGAAACACCACATCCCCATTGGTGCAAACACCCTCTTTAGGCCCCCTGGCAATACCAAAAGAACAAAAACCTCAAACTACTTGCTTTTTCAGCACCATTTCGCCCAGAAATGTCCACTCTTCAGTCTGGGCTTCCCAAGCAAGTTGGTGACGGTAATCCTGGCTTCCCACCGACTCGGTCCGTCGAGTCAAGTGATCCGACCGATCTCCATCTTCGATGTCACTCACACCACCGAGGTCCCGTCGTCAGAGTGGCCAACGGACCTGCAGAACATCGGTTTCAGCGGTGCGAAACGACGCACCGAGGACTGCGTGGGACCATGCGGAGGTGACTAGAAGCTTCCACCCCCAACGGCTGAAAGCTGCTCGAGCTGAAGCAAAGTAGAAAGCACCCACAGCAGGAAGTTAAGTTCACATGCCGAAGTTGACATGCAGAAGTCAGTGGCCGACCACCATCTCCTTGCTGCGCATGGAATTTCGGTATAGGGGGTCCAGGTAGGTAGGGGGATCCCACCAGACCGTCCAGGCCAATCCCAAAAGGAGCTGCCCCGAACGTCCCATCCTCCGAGTGCAACAACGACCCCTTCCGACTCGTGCTCTTCAGCACCGAGTGCTTCGTGGAGAACAACGCTCTGCCGGAGGCGCCCATCGTCGCTCATCGCCTCTCGTTCTTTCACGGGCTGCTCCGCACCGAGCGCTCTGACCGACGGAGTCGGTGCCAGGTCGGTCCGGTGCGACTCGTGCGCTTTTGGGATCCAGGGAGCGATGGACAGGGAGCGAGGGAGGTTCGTGGCTTGATCACTTCCCGACTTACGAGCTGCACCAGTGAGTTGTTTTGTGGGGACCTCCAACATTGAAAGACAGTGGCGTTTCTTGCGTTGCCAAGGGGGTCTTTAAATGATTTGTCTGCATTTTCCCCAGCATCTGGTTTCACACGCTTCATCACGTGTCTATCTGATTCTATCTGTTCGTGGAAGTCAGACACGCGCCCGATCAACTCAAATGGTTTCTTGTAGATCTACTTACAGGGTTGAGAATTGTTTGGACACATTCCAGGATATATAGATTCATCTATGTGGTCTTCGATTCATCTATGTGGTCTGTGGCCTACAAATGATTCACCGATGTTTTTCCTGCCAAATTCCCTGTAAACTTCAATGCAGGATCCAACCTGCGCAAAAGCCTTGCTCAACAGCCTTGCTCATTTACTACGAAAAACAAGAAAAGGCGAGAAGTCGGTGACCCTCCAACTGAACGCAAGGGACTCCAACCATTGATGCTTCGTTTTTCCTTCGAGTCCTCGCGATGTATCAGGAAAAGCTTCAAAAAAGAATCCGCTCTCAGCCACACCGGGGAACCTACTTACCTACTTCACTCACCACTCGCCCCGATCGCTTCCACAGAGCCAAGCGCCTTGCCTTGTTGTGCCGTTGCCAGGCAGACATCTGCGCTTGCATCCGGAAGGAGTTCTGCCTGGGAGGTCTTTGTTGGGCGCGGAACGGAAGAAGGGCGCGGAACGAACTTTCCGGCAGAACACGGCGTGGCGCTAAGGGTTCGATGCCGTCATGTCGGACCTTACTCTTCATTCGCTGACCGTTGCATCCCGTCCGTCTTCGGCTCTCCGTCCCACCCAGCGCCCAAGTGGATCCCGCCAACTCCGGAGCCACACACCTCAAAACCACTGGCACCATGTGCAGCAGTGAGGAGGAGCCGAGGATGATGAGGCAGAAGCTGCGCAGGGACGGGAAAAAAGCACGGCACAGCGATTCTGGCGCCCGATGTGTACTCTGGGTGAGCTAAAGTGTGATTACAACGGTACACATGATGTAGGCTGTTGATTAATAAGGCCCCCGCAGGAAAATGCAAAACCGTGATGCCAGGAGGATTTTACTTAATCATAAAAAAAACGCTTCAGGCACCTGCTAATCATCTGAGGTGCAGTAACCATTTGAGTCGTACGCACACAACTCACAAGAGAAAAATGCCAAGAAAAATGACTGGCTTGTTTCAGCGTGGCAGGAGCAATCAGTCAGGAAAGCAAAGCATGCAACTAAAAAACTTTTGGAGATTCCCCTTAGTTGTGCCTTTTGGGGAACATGTTTCATGTTGTAAAGGAATTGTTGATGGATTTGTTGGATTTTTGGAGAGATCTTTCGATGGCAAAGCTTGGACCAAATCACCGGTGCCTGATGACGTAAGTGGACGTCGACTGCTTGGACCAGTCCTGCGAGGAGAAGGCAAATGGCATTTTCCGAACAAGCGCGGTACCGATCTGGGCCATGGATGTTGATGATATAAATATATCTATACATCTATGTATAGATATATTATAGATATATTATAGATAAATAGATATATAAAACATCTGCCATCTATGTAGATAAATAGATAAATAGATATATAAAATAGATATATAATGTATCAAATGTATCTGTCTTACAGTATCTAGCAGCTTGGGCCCTTCGAGTTGCTCCAACTCAGACGAAACGCATCAAGTCTTCAGTAGTCCTGGGCGCGTGACCTAAAAAAAAACACCAAGTCGAAACAGAGAAAGAAACACCCAAACTGAGCAACTACCCAAATGAACCCACCAAACTCACTGAGCGACTTGCTACATACCTAGATATAAACCACCTCTCACACACACATTTCTTTTTGGACTGCGAGTGACTCATGGATTCATCCCATGAAACATCCTCAAAGACCGAGGGCCTATCACAAAAAACCTCTCCATGCTGAAAAGGACGCCGTGTCACACAGGGCCAAAAGCTCCCACACCAAGAAAAGGACACATTCGAAGGATATCATAACTCCAAGGCTTGCAGAATCAGCCTTGGATGAACCACCTCCCCCACCAGATCTGTCAACCCCATCCACCAACCCCCTCCAAAAAAACAAAAACAAAACGCGATTCGGCTCTTGGTCTGCAAACCCGCGCTAATGAACCACCTCCCCCGGGGTCCACGACGGCCAGCCCGCTCTGGGACACGCAGCTTGCCGAGGTGTAGATCGCTTGCGGCCATGAAAAGGCGCCTGAGGCGCGACGTCAGCGAAGCACGAGGCGCCGCGGCAGCGAAGGACGAAGCGAAGAGAGGTGAGGTTTCCGGCGAGATGGCTGGGTGTGGGAGAACAATGCCTGGCTGGATGGACTGGCTGGATCTTTAGGGGGCATGGCTTTTCAGAAGCTGACAGGCTTGAGCGGTTTGGAGGATCTCAAAATCTCTCGTGGAAGGATGAATTCACCGGCAAGGAGGGGCACGTCCTCATGAGAAAAGAAGAGAAAGCAGTCTCTGCACGAGACCATGGATTTCGGTTTTGAAATGGATGTTTGAACGGCAAATCTTCACCACTCGATGTGATGTAAAGCAATATCTAGGAATGTATACAACAAGGTTCATGTTTGAACATGAAATGGCACTCGGCACACCCTGATGGCGCACCGTGCGGTTCCAGGACCCACATCAATGCAGCGCCCAGCAGAATGACGCTGACCTCAATCGTCCGTCCATGCCGGAGACGCGAGAGCGGATGCAAGCGGTATCACACAATCTGGGCCAAAACCGAGACACCCTGGTTGACCACCTGGCGAATGAACAGAATATGACCTTTTCTTTGGTCAACCTATCCTGGTGAACGGTGCTCCGGGGGTCATAGCACCCACCCCCATGAGATAGGTGCCAAATGGTTTGGGGTTCGGTGCACGGGTTCGTGCGTCGTTGAACTGGGTAGTGCCGGTAGTGCCGGTAGTGCGTGCTGTCGGAGTCATGTTGTATATGGTTTTTGAGGTCTACAGAGGGTCATAGACACCTGCCAAAAATGACTATGGCAACAGCCAAATGTAGCCGGCAACACGAGTGTCATGGCTGAAGTAAAACTTGTTTTCGGACGCTCCAAATTGCTAAGTGGCCACTCGTGATATCTATCTCGAAGAAGCATCCCAATTTCAATTGAACTCTTTATATTGGATAGTGGTGGCATGCTAACCTGGGACCTGATATATCCTGCAACCTCTGGATGTACAGAATCTTGACCACCACGGGTCACCATGGGACGCTGGGATCTTTTTGTTTCCTGGTTGTTTAGCGCTTCGCCCTCGTGTGTTTCGGCCTCATGGAGACGTTCTTAGGTTCAGGCAATGTAACCGGCATAGCACCTGCGGTACATGTGGTGAGCCGAGCTGAAACATCATGAATAAATACTTTGAGTCCACTTGATTCTCTATCAGTAATCAATACTAAACTGTCCCAACTCCATGAGACAGAGGGACACGGTGTGTCACCGTGACCTGTTCAAAAAAAGCCAGCCGCTGCCAGCGTTTCCACAGCGCCCCACGGGCACGGTGCCGGGAGAAAGAAGCCCTCGCTGGGATCACCCGGCCAATAGTAGAGCTCCTCTATGAAAAAGAGCAAGGAAAACTTTCTGCGCCTCTCTTGCACCTGAGCGACATCGACGGATGCGCGAGATCGAGTGGCCAGTGGCGAGTACAATGCGGAGAGACGTGCCGTGAAATGTCACACGGCGAGCATGTACCGTTCTACACCAACGAAAAGGAAGTGCTCCACAAAATTGCCTCTCGGTATGGTTGTCTTCGCTTCAATCTAGCTCGCTGCAATCTAGCTCTGACAAAACTGTAGCCCATGAGAAGTCACATGATGATCCTGCAAATTGGGGATTTGTGCGTGAAGCTCGACAGTTTCGTGGGTTATTTTCTCACTGGCTGTCATGAGGTGCTTCATTACCTGAAGCCAAGCACTATTTGACCCGGCATTGACTCAAGTACCGTGCTAGTACGGTAGCATGCAGGGTTGCATGAAAAAGGTCCAACCCATACGCTCCTGTAAACTAGTCAGTCTCAAGATCTAATCCTCACGTGAGTGAGAAACCACACGTTTGGGGCCAATGTGCTTCATCACTACCGATGTTGTGGGTCTCTCTGCCCAAAAATGTAAGGGATGCGGTATTCTTGTCCTCCTTGATTGTCAAGATCGAGGTCATGCTGCACAAAAAGCTTGCTCCGCCCCAAGGCAGTCGACGCATGAAGGCTCCTCCAATGCTTTCCCCAGACTCACTCTTGGTGCTCGCTGCGGCCGTCGCTTTGGGCGCGATCACCACGCCGTCGTCGCAAGAGACGCTTACGGTTCCAACGGTCCGTGGGTCCGGACCAACGGATCGATGGTTGTATGTTTCATCACGGTTTCATCGCGCCGGTGTCTCGGATCACCTGTGCGGTCGCCGATCTCCGCGGATCTCCACGGAATCCAATTGCTTGAGCTGGTTGACGCTTCCAAGTGCTCTGCAGCTGGCCTGGAGTAGGGCGCAGTCCTCTCGTGATGCTAGCTTTGAGAGCATCTGCGGTCTGTCTGGATATGTGGTCGCAGCGCAAAATTTCAAACAGCTCGACAAAGAATTGATGCCTGGCTGCAGATCGGCTGCGAGTTCGTCGTCACATCTTTCGCAGCCTCTGATTTTGTAGAAAGATCGATCTAAAAACATCGAAAAAAACCCGCTTCTCCGAAAAGTCAAGGGTTATTGTATGATCTGAACATCTCCAAACCCCCACACTGACTTCAAAACATCTCGAGGACGGCATTCTTGCAGCTTTCCGACCCCCAAGAGCTGGCTGTATTTTTTGCTTTCCGGAGCACCATGAGCTCGGGGAAAACCTCCCTGAGCCACCCGGCCGTAAACCAGTCCATGCCCATGTATGCCTCAAAGAGGTGGCCGTAACCGCGAAGAGCGCGACCACATCGGTGAAGAGATGAGAACTTCGGTGAAGAGATGAGAACTTCGGTGAAGAGATGAGGCTAAGAATCAGACCGACTGGACCGGGAGGAACAGGGAGGTCAAGAGGGGGAGCCTATACCTCTCGGATCGATCCTCAATTTGAGGGTCTATATGTATATATATATATATATCCTCTCTCAAGTCGACTCCCCATCCACCCCACTCCCCCACTCCGCAAGTCAGCTCACTGCCTTCCCGAAGTCAGCCAAGACCTGAGCGTTGCCGTGGTCGCTCCGATGAGCGGCACGAAAAGAAAGAGGACGGAAACCACAAAGCTCAGAGAGTAGATGAGTAGACTTGGCAACAAAAAGAGATGAATTTTCGACTTAGACCGTTGGAAGTTGTAAAAGTCACTCACCACGGTCCCCCGGCAGTGCGAATGTTGCCGGCCACGGTCCTCGGGACGCAGTTCCGGCGGAGTCTCGGCTCCTGTGAACACCAGCCAAGGAGGTTCACCACCCATGGGAGGCCACTGGGAAAATATTTGGTGTATGGTGTATGTATGGTGTATGTATCCCTCCACCTCAAAAGGACCAGTTTTACGAGGTCCTGCTGTAAACGACCCAGTTTTACGAGGTCACATTTTCTTTGACCTTCAAAAACTTTCAGGTCACCATTTCCACGGAAGATTCTTTGGGCATTAAGGTCACCACTTCCACACAAATTTCTTTGGGCATTAAGGTCATTGCCATGGAACATTCTTTTGGGTTCGATGGTCCTGATACATACATATGTGCATGCATACCGGAGACATGGTACCCATACGCTCACTGTTAGCGGCGCCATGCCTTACGCAAGTCCACGCGTGCCAATCTTTTCTTGGTGGAATTTTTGCGCACGTTGTTTGCTCAATTGACCAATTACATTGCCATGATACGTGGCTACGTGGGAGTCATGTTTGCTGCTTGCAATTGCACGCGTGCATTGTTCAAGCCGATGACAGTTCATCGTCAAATCGCATTAGAAGCTTGCAGGTCCCATGCTATAGAGTCACGCTAGGGTCACGCCCAATGATGTCCATGGCGAAGTTTTTGACAACTTCGTGGTTTAGGTGGGAGTCACGCGAGAGTCATGGTAGAGTCACGGTCCCACGCCCAGGCCAGAAACGGCCAATTTCAACCACATGCATTGTCTGTGTTGTAACGCATCGACCGTGCTTCATATTAAAAAGATCTAGCAGCCTGGGCGCCACTGCCACAAATATTTTGTTTGTGCGATGTTCGCGCGAAACGGAAAGTAGAGCAAAACGCTCCTGGAAGGCCGTTGGTGCAGCATGTTGAATCACAATCATCGTGCCATGTATCTGTGCACCATATATGCATAAAGTAAAAGACGTCCTTTACGCAGTAAAGTCGGGCTTTCCACCATTTCCACGAAAAGTTTTTGGAGGTCGAATTGTGCTATCAGTTTTGCAGAAAATAGAGCCCAGTAAAACGAGGCCTTTGATTTGGAGGGTATGGTGTATGTATGGTGTATGTATGGTGTATGTACCGTTCCAACTAGCAAAGACCATCTTTGGGAGAAAAAAAGAAGTTGCCGAGCAGGGACACCCTGATCCTTCACGGACCACAATGACTACAATGAACCTGAAGTCCTTGATGTGTCCAAAGAGTGGGAGAAGAGGACGGAGAAAAAAAAAAAACGTTTGTTCACCTCTTCACGGGGCGAAGAAGTGTTCGGATGTGCCTCCAGGCTGGGAACCGCTGTGCCTCGGACACCGAAGTAGACCCAACTCGCTGTTTGGCCCGAGCAGCGGCGTCAAGTTGTCCAAGGTGTTGGCCCGAGCCTCGGACAACTGGAGCCGCTGGCTGAGGTGACTTTCTGCAAGGGAGAAACGCAATATAACAATGCGAACATCTGAGCAACACCTTAGTTACATCTCATGTCTTTTTGCTTTGATTCGTTTGAGGTGTGCAAATGGAAAGTCTGAGTTAGTGTGGGATGTTGCCCGAAGTATGACATCCGCGTGACTCCAGCCGCTCTGTCATGGAAGAAAACTGTCTGTCGACCATACTGAGGTCCAGGCTCGACCTGACAGCCAGGTGAGCGCACCGTTGGGTGGAAGACCAAATATGAAAGTGATAAATCGCCAAGTCAATCGAACAGTATTCTCCCTCCAACGTGGATCAAAGGGTCAGCATGTCATGCAAGAGAGTCCTGCAACAGAGCGTTCATCGCCATTCCTCCGCATCCTCCACATCCCTCCATTGCGTGGGACGTCCTCCGCGCCCAAAAGCCCCCGGAAATTCGACTCAGACGCCTCAGACGCCCCGGTCAGGCGCCAATCCCCTCGCCTGAGAGATTCGACTCATCGCCAAAGGACCTCGGCGGCTGGACCGAGGAACCGCCCGGACCGGACCGGACGTCGCTGTTCGAGGTCTCCAGCGTTCGAGGTCTCCAGCGTCCCAAAGACCAAAGAAAGAAGGCAGCCACTGGGTTGCAAAGCCCAACTGGTGGGTGTGCGTGCTAATTTGCTGGACTTGTTTTCTCCCTCCTTACCGGGTGATGGTTCAGAGGACCTGGGCACGGTTTCCTTGGGTTCAGAGATTCTGCCAACAGAGCACGATCAACTCTTAGGGCATGATGAGCACGACAATGAGCACGACGATGAGCACGACACGTGCAAGGAGTGGCTGAACCGATGTGGCGCAAGCAGTGCCAGTTGTCTCCACTGGGAAAACGGATCAATGTTCAAACGGCCGGACAACTCCTCTCCTTCGGCCCGAAACCGCCCTGGTGGAGAACTCATCCCTTTTCGCCCGTGGTACGTTTGCCGAGTTCTCGGGTTTCTTTTTCCCACCGAAGCACCGTAAGTTCTCGAGGGAATGGGTTCTCGAGAACTTCTCGTGGTTCCCCTGTCAAACGCAGGCAGCTCGACTCTCGGCATCAAAAGAACAACGGCTCAGCCCTTCCAAACTTCGGGTGATCTTTTCTTTGGTGAAAAATGGGCCGATGAAAGACTGGTCGACTCATCCGCAACTCGGCCAGGGTCGGAGGGCCGAGGCACGTGGGCACGGAGAGCAAACTGTTCGACGTGTGCTCGGCCGGCACCGGACCTGGGGAATTCTTAGGGCTGGAACGTTGGGTGGAGTTTCACAGGTTTTTTTGATCAACAAGTGGTGATGGGTCCGTTTTTGTTGCTAACGGTTGCTGGTGGCGTTCGCTGAAATGTCGGATGACTCTTGAAAGCGGGGTT